AAGCTTGGGACCGAAGATAGTACCAGAGGTGAGCCAAAAAGTTTAGCACGTTTCTTCGGGACCTACTTGTCTTAGAGTTACCTCTATGATATTACCAACAATCAATACGAAATTATGATATTACCATAGAGGTAACTCTAAGACCGAAAGGTCCCAAAGAAAAGTGCTCAACTTTTTGGCTCAGCACAGGTACTTTCTTCGGTCCCAAGCTAATCGATGCACCCCTCGAAGCATAGAAAAATCCACGAACCCCTCATTTTATCTGTCAAATTTTCATAACGAATCAAAACAAACATAGTGTAGTACTAGAATTGGGTACTTTAATTGATTTGCTTGGGACCAATAGGCTAGTCAAGTAGTGAGCAAATTTAAAATTATTAGTTTGCACCGGTTGATAATACCATAGAGGTAACTCTAAGACCACTGGGTCCCGAAGAAAATCATTATTAATTTTGGCTCACTCAGTACCAGAACAACGGTCCCAAGCAGTCCCAAGCTATTTCACTCACCCCTGCATGTTCTGCATGAATCCACACACCCCTGATGTTATCTGTCAAACTTTCATAGCGAATCAAAACAAACATAGTGTAGTAATAGAATTTCAACTAGAATAGGGTACGTTAATCGTTTGCTTGGGACCAATAGGCTACTAAAGTGGTGAGCCAATTTAAAATCGTTAGTTTCGTATTGATTGTTGATAATACGGCAGCTGCTTCTAAATAATCTTCCAACTTTAAATTAATGATGAGGTATGATCTTTTACTCAACGAAAAATAATGTTATGTAAATCATATCTGTCGAGTCTTCTTATGAACGTTGGAGGCGAACCAGCCCAAGGCTGAAAGCCTCCCTAATAAAGATAAATTAATTAATTAATCTTCTTATGAATACAACCACTCAATTCCCTGTTTTTCCATTTCCATCTTTATTCTCATAATATCACATAATCGCACGTCCGATCACTCTCGCTCTTCCCTGTCACCTCCCCCTTCCGCTTTAGCCGGTTTTACACTCTCCATCCTTTCTCCCCAAGTTCAGCCCTCTCTACATCCAGGGGCAAGACCCTACAATATTGACAATATCCTGTATAATGAAACAAAAAAACCTCGGAAAAAACTGTTTGCAAAAATTTACGTTTTTGTATGAGAACTATCCAGCTTTCCATGCTCGGTAATGGCGGCCTGTTTGTATGAATAAATGTATCCTTTGCTTTGGACACTAACTGGAGGGCGTATGTTGTTCCATTTTCTTCTGTTCCTGTGAGAGATTGAAAGACAAGGATCAAAATCCGAACCTCCAGATAACACAGTGGAGGATACATGAAAATTTTGCCGATTATCATATACACAGCAAAAAAAAATGTAATATCGATCAATGTAATTCAAGCTGATGTATGAAATAATGATGTAATAGCAAAAAGCAGATACAATATTACATCAATGGATGTAATTTTGTTCGCAAAATCGATGTACATCGTACAACGTTATATTACACAACCGATGGATTGACCTGGTTGCAGCAGTTTGGATGTAATATTCAACAACTTTTTTTTCTGTGTACGAGATACCCTAAACAATTTGTTATATGATAAGCTAATGTTTTTTTACGATCTAAAGTCCTAATATCATAGAGGTAACTCTAAGACCACTGGGTCCCGAAGAAAATCATTATTATTTTTGGCTCACTCAGTACCAGAACAACGGTCCCAAGCAGTCCCAAGCTATTTCACTCACCCCTGCATGTTCGGCATGAATCCACACACCCCTGATGTTATCTGTCAAACTTTCATAGCGAATCAAAACAAACATAGTGTAGTAATAGAATTCCAACTAGAATAGGGTACGTTAATCGTTTGCTTGGGACCAATAGGCTACTAAAGTGGTGAGCCAATTTAAAATCGTTAGTTTCGTATTGATTGTTGCTAATATGATGCATTTCATTTTGGTATGATTCTGTGGATCTTCCATCTACCGTTTAGGATTATGCGGGTTCTGATTTCCCGGGAGCTAGTCCCTCTTCTCAATTTCGACTTCAAGGAAATTCATCACCAGACTAATTTTTCAACCCACTGTGCATCTGTCAGCTGTCCGGCTGTCAAACCGACTGTCATTCTAGTACTACTATTCCGACCCGTTCTCTCTTTCTGATCCGCCATTGTGTCAAGTTTGTTGTCCGACGATTTGCTCAGACCTAAAATGTGAGTTTTTTCGATGAATATTGCTGATAAATAGAATGTTTCCCGTGGAAAATGTGATCTAATTGATTTACTTTCTTGTAGCTATCAAAAATGGAGAACGACGCCGGAGAATTCGTTGACTTGTACTGCCCGAGGAAGTGGTAAGTTTTGATGCAATGTTTTCCTCTCGATTTACCAACACGTGTCGTTCGGAATATGGTTCAAATTGGCAGGAGTTGGGAAACCTTACGGTTCTAAAGACTTCCAGATAATTTGAAATGCATAAAGTGTTGATTTTATCGAATTTTGCTAGCCACATCCCAGGACAATCCTCACGTACCACTTTGTTTACTGCCCTAACCTCACTTTGTTGCTAACTGACTATCCCTCTATCTGCATTCATGTAGCTCGTCGAGCAACCGAATCATCCACGCCAAGGATCACGCCTCCATCCAGATCAACATCGTCGATGTGAACCCCCAGACTGGCCGTATGCTGGAGACCTCCAAGGTGTACGCCATCTGCGGTGAGATCCGCCGTATGGGAGAATCGGACGACTGCATCGTTCGTCTCGCCAAGAAGGATGGTCTATTGACCAAGTAAGTTCAAACTGTTTATATGGTGTTTTGCGGCAAAATGTTAACTGACTTGTTTTATTCTTTGTTTCAGGAACTATTAAATGTCTGTATCCTAAGGATAAAGAATAAAAAATAACTACTTTAAAAATTATCCCATTTTTGATTATTTACTGATTATACCTACCACCCCGAATTCAACATAAGCAATCCTCAATCAATCAAATTGATCACATAGACGCTTAAAGTTATGTTCAGACTGGATGATCCCTTGTAAAATGTTAGAACTCCCTAATCTTACGTCTCAGTATCATAGATTGTGTTACATTCTCCCGAAAGCCAAAATGTAGAAGGAAAGAGCAGTAGTTAGTAAACAGATTTGCGTTCTCTAAGTAGATGGTTGAAGTATAAGCAGTTGAAATTGAATACGAATATGATATTACGTACACGCAAAATTCAGCAAATTTGTAGTTCTGTATCAAAATTTCAACTCAATTGATCATAACAAAACATACACGGGTCGTTCTCATTCGCCGTGTAGTTGCAACATGCCAAAGTTGGCTAGTTTGTATTAAAATCGACCTACTGTCCTATTATAACGGCCACCACTGCCGCCCTTGCACATTTGATTGTCGTCAATGCATGACAATCGACGTCCTATTGATTACAAAAGGAAATAAGAAGAAGAAGACAATTTAATGAGGGGTTCGTGGAGTTTCCTACGATTCGAGGGGCGCTTCAATTAGCTTGGGACCGAAGGTCTGCTACTTCTTGAGCCAAAAGATTGAGAATGTTTCTTCGGGACCCCCTGGTTTTAGTGTTAGTCTATGGATATACTTTTTTTCCTTGATTTGTTTTCGGTACTGAGTATCACTGAGGGGCCTCCCTAAGCTCAGTCGGTAAAGGCACAGCTACAAAGCAAGACCATGCTGGAGGTGGCTGGGTTCGATTCCCGGTTCGGTCTAGGAATTTTTCGGGTTGGAAAATGTCTCGACTTCCCTGGGCAATAGAGTATGATTGTACTTGCCACACAATTATACTAATGCAAAAATGGTACAGGCATCGAAAGCTTTCAATTAATAACTGTGGAAGTGCATCTATAGAACACTAAGGTTGAGAGCACGCAATAAGCTAATATGCCATACGCAATAAGCTTGAAATTCGCGGAAGAAGAAGAAGGCTGAGTATCAATGCTACCGACGCCAGGGAGGCAGCTCCCACATCTGGACCCTACCTATCGACCCATCTACTCATGGACCGGGAACCAATGGCTTTACTTCCCCCCGAAGGAAGGCGTGATCAGTTATGATCACTACACATATTCGTGTTTTCGTTCGAACCGTATTTTCCATACAGAATATGGGTGCACGTGTTTTACTTGTAAGATACAAGGAGAGGTTTCAAAGTATATGTTCGACAAAAATTTCTTTCTAAGCATCACAATCAACGCTTATATGCGATATTCAGGAATCGAAATTGACAGATTTTATGTTAGCGGTGCCAGTGATGTAGTGGTAAGCGCGACTGCCTCTGACTCCAAATGGCTTGGATTCAATCGCAGTGTCGGGATTTTCTGAGGCATAAAATATCTGATAACGCCTTCCTTCGGGGAAGGGAAGTAAAGCCGTTGGTCCCAGGTCCATGAGTTGATGGGTCGATAGGTAGGATCCCTGGTGTTGATAGCATTGGTACTCAATAGGGAAAACAAGATCGACGGAAAACAAATCTAGGGAAAAAAGAATTTATGTATGTGTCAAACACATACTTTGTAATTGTAACATCTTCTTGTATCTCGCAAATAAAAAAATAAGAACATGTCAGAAGGGTCTAACTCGAAATGTAAACAATGACTTGAATCGTCGGTTTCTAACGAATAACTACATACCCATTCAAACTAACTAAACTGACAGAGAAAATTTCATTTAATGTTTGTTCTATGAGCTAGTGTAATCAGATTCCGTTGGTGTGTGGTCATGCAAGAGAAATCGACGTTCAAAGTCATTCACCCATATTCTTGTTTTCGTTCGAACCGTATTTCCCATACAAAAAAAAAATTCCAACGAAAACAAGAATATGGGTGATTGTTTACCATTCGAGTTATACCCTTCTTGCATGTTTCACCTGATATGATATGTCTTCGATATTACCGAAGACAACATGATATATGATGTCTTCGATATTACCCTAATTACGGTACATTAACACACTACAGGTGCACAACTCTAAGAAAACACCCCACAGATGTTTTATGCAAAATATTAGTAGTTTATTGACTTCGCTATGTACAGTGACTTATGTATGTGATTTACATCAATCTAGTGATTATTTAGCCTGGCTCATTACGGTTTCTTAAAACGCATTGATAGATCAAGACGGTCCTTAAAACTAACATAAAAATAACGACGACATTGAATTACCATTGATGTTTCTGAAAGCTGGAAACTATTACTGTTTGGAGATCGAAATTATTGTACAAGAACAAATACCTAACACGATTATGATAAATTTTGTGTTCGAGGCAAAAGCAGCCCGGGTGAAATCAAAATATATTAAAACTACGACCAGTATTACTAAATAGTGAGAAATTAACTGCAACGTTTATAAAATATCTTACACTGTAAAGCGACTTGATTTTCCAGATTCTGGATGCCTATTTACATTTCTTCCTCTTCTAGCAACTGGTAGCCAGTGTCATGTGCTAAGACGGTACGATCAGTTCTTCATCGTCCGATATATCGATATCGTCAAATGTGTCCGGCTTCACATTTTCCTTGATCAACATCTCGTCTTCTTCGTCATCTTCATCATCGTCATCGTCTTCAATGTCATCGTCCAAGTCTTCTGGGACAGCAATTTTAGAGCCCTTGTCGCCTTCGTTTATGCTGTCACCAGCGTTAGGTCTGTTGTTACTCGAACTGCTGGCATCTTCTTGTTCTTTTTCGCTGTCAATCGTGAGACTAGCACTAGATCTATCGACTGCAGGTTCTTCAGATGATGATGGTTTGCTACTTGTCGCTTGATCGCTGCTTTCTTTGGAGGTACCAGCTGTGGTATCATTACTAACAACTGTCGCTGTTTTACTACTGGATGGCTTTGAATTGTGGCTGGTTTCCACCTCGTCGTCCGTGTCGTTGTCTTGCACTCGAGCGAATCTGAAAAATAGTAACGATTTTAATTCGTCTTAGCAGATCTTCAAACTGCATCACTTACTTGTCGATAATGTCTCCGATTTTCCCGTAATGTTTCTTGTTTTCCTCCAACTTCTCGTTAAGTTTCTTGTCAACTATTGCCGGATCCTTATCCGTTCCACTGTAGTAGGATACCATTTCGTACAGATCGGTCTTCCGCCGTTTTTGCAACAGCTTTCCGATCCTGATGAAAGCATCCTGCGCTATCTTTGTCATCTCATCCCTTCGCATTCCGTAGCCGTACTGCGTATTACAGTGCTGCAAACATTTCAACACGTCGAAGAAATCGGGAAATGTGTTTGTCCTATTGACAAATGTCTGAATCGTCCGGTTAAACTCCGGATAGTGTGTTCCGTCAAATTTGATCGGCTTTCGTGTGATTCGATGTGCGTGTTTGCTTTCTCCAGTAATATCACAGATCTTCTCGTAGATTTCGAACGCTCGCTTTTTGTAGCGTTCTTCCATCATGTACGCAGAATTGATGTCCTCGTCAAAATCCACCTCCGCCTCTGCCAACTTGGCAATACGCTTCTTCAATATGTATAGAGCGCGGTTCAATCTTCTAATCTGATTGTCTTTTTTCTCACTTCCGGTGCTGGTAACATTCTCATTCGTTATCACAGAGTTCCGAGATTTTCTGCGAATGTTCAATTCTTCCACAATGCTGGACAGCTTCAAATAGACCAGCTCAGGACGCGTTATCACATCCTGGGTAACGGCTGCTAGCGTCTTCCGGAAGCTTTTGGAGTTTATATAATCAGGATGAACGCACTCGTAATACCTGATCAGCTTCTTTTGAATGAGCAGTTCCATTTCCTTCGATGAATCTGCTTTCCTACAAGCGTCCAGCAGATCGGCAAATTCTTTCCCAATAGGGTTCTTCTCCACATGAGTACGCTTCTCCTTCTTCTCGGACGATCGGCTAGTGGAGTGTGAATCGGCGGTAATGCTGCTTCCCGGGGTTGCTGTCTTCCGATCGTTGATTTCCTCTTCCGCCAGCGACGAAAGCGGCAATTTCTTCTTAGCCTGCATTTGTTGCCTCTGCTGTTCATGATCTTTAATTATTTGCTGATACTTCAGATGATCCTTTTCCCATTCATCCGAGAAACTGATCATGGCAAAGTTTTCGTTGACCGGTGTCCGATTATTGTTTTCCGCTTCCTTGCACAGGTTGATGGCAATCGTGGTCGGCTTGATGCGTCTTATTTTGTTCGATTCGGGAGGCTTATTTACTGGATGTGTGCCACCATTCAGGCCAATCGGGACTTGTGGGGCTATTTTACGCCGCTTGGGCTCTCCAGACTAGAATAAAGTAATTTAAAAAAATATATATATTAAATTGACCCGCACATAATATACTTTATAGGTCAGCGCTCCGGGACGTGGTCTCTGAATCTCAGCAATGATATCATTCAATTTTGTTCATCATTATGAATTTTAGCCCAGAATGAATGCGAAATTGACAAACTGAAGCTTTAAACATGTTTATCGCTAGCCATTCAAAAAAGCAAGTTTAGAAAGGTTGGGCAAGCCTGTTATAGGCCATCAAAAGAAAGTCTTTTTGAAGCCATCTTGAAATTTCAGCCATTTTAAAATGCATCTAGTTATCACATAAAAAGCTTTTATTATTTTTTTCTACGCGGGATAAGAACTCAAAGGCGACTCAATAGTTGTATCACAGATAAACAGACATAGCACTCGCAAGTTGTTCATCGAACACGCATTTAACGGCAATTTAAATGTTTTAGTTGGTAGTACCACCACCTGTGGCGCGCATAGTAAATTCCTTTGCGTTTGACGTTTACACACTACCGCCATCTGTTGAGCGTACTGCCCATCACAGTGTACTCAACATATGGCGGAAGTGTTTTAGCGACAATGCGGATGTATTACCTTAAATATTTAAATTTAAAAAAAATATTGGTGAATAGATAGATTTTGACTTTTTATCCCCCACAGTAACGCTCAAACCAATTGAAGGTACTTCATTCGAACAATATAAGCGTTTTGAAACTTCTCTCTTATTCTTTACAGTGCAACATTTTGAAACCTGCATCATCTAGTCTTTTGTCAAAATAGCCGGATTTAGAGGTCTATTTATATAGGTGCAAAACTGTAAATCTAGACTAACATTTGAAAGGGGCGTAAGAGCCAAAATGTAAACAAACCATATTTTGCCACATATAGAGAGAATAGTTCACAAACTACTCGATAAACACGAAAATGTAGAAGAAAATATCACTTCAAATCATCAAAAACGTTTCTTCTTACATGGCGTATTTCAAACTTTCAACTCTATGATGCATCGGGTTGTTACGCCTTGCACCAGAACTACGAATTATATCGTTTTAATATGCCAAACGTATTGAGTATGTAGTATCTAGTCACGCCCGATTCATTTGAAATGCATCCGATTGATAGTTCACGTGTAAACAACGAACAAAAAGAAGACCAAAAAATCTCCGGGCGTAATTCCACTCTCACAAAATTTGCGAACGAAGAACCAAGGCGGAACAACAAACAAAATATCCCGAGGGTGTACTTCCACGGCGTATCACCAGTGTTGGCAGTTCAAAGGGTGGATGATCCGGGGGGTAACAACATGTATGAAATTATCAGGGCGTATGATGTTTTCTTCTCGATTTCACGACAAAGAAAACTTTTTTTGAGTTTTTAGTGATGCATGATGATAGATTACACTATTAACTATATGTCAAGCTTATAAAATCATCCAGAAAATGGAAAGTCGTGAAATAGGATTAATTTTTAGGTCATCAAAATTCAGAAGCGATTTTCTCGATATGGTCATTTTGGAATTACGCCCTTTTCAAATGTTAGTCTAGAAATCTTCAAAGCTTTCTTGTTAGTTTCTATTTGTTTATTTGCATTAACCAAGTTGCACAAATTTTAAGTGGTATGTACAAGTCCTAGATTATCGTAAGAGTGATGAAGGTGTCCATCTGTTATCTCATAGGCAGCAATTGAGGATTAATCACTGAGGCTTATCTGCGCCATAATGACTGAGGTGATTTGTTTAGCACGAAAAGTAACCTCACATGAGATGACTGTAGTCACCTTGCTGCCCCGGATACACTTGTATGACAAACTATGAGCATGAGCATTATTTGTATAATAATTATGAGCACTACACAAAAACTATACAACGACTATTATACAGGTGTGACCATGGATGAGCATGAGTTTTATTGTACAGATAAGGCTCATGCTGCCCCGTAACGTGGGTAGATCACCTTTTCGTGGTACGTTACGGGATGTAAGATCTACCACCGATTCCTAGTCCTGACTACTTCAAACTATGGGAACATAGCTTAATCATTTAAAATCCAATTTTGACTAACAAAGGGGCGCGCTATGGAGGGTGCTCTCATTCTTCGAAGGGTATAAATAGCAGAACCTTTCAATTAGATTCGATTCCTTGCGATGAAGGCAAGAATGACAACTGCATCAAAACCGAATATCATTTCTCATATGCACTGGTCGCAGTGGTCCCGAACAGAGAAAAAAAAAGCTTATGCTCATAGTTGGTCACACGGTATTCTAATGACTGCGAGTCGCCTCACCCCACTCGCGACACAGAATAGGCCTCACTGCATCTTGTGGAAGCGATTCACCTTCCAATGGTCGAGAATTGTCCTGACCACGTCCCCACAGGTGTGAACGACCCCCCATAAGTGTCCAGGGAGTGGAGAAATGTCGTTAGTAGGGAGGGTAAACATCCTATTGCCTTTAGTAAACGTTATTGGAAATTTATCAATACTACAAATATTATTGACAATACTTTCCCTATTTTTATCACTACAGTAATGACGCGATTTTGTAAGCCTCTTTTTTGAAAATATGTTCTAATGTTCTATGCGCCTTTTCAGACGTCTTATTGTACCAAAGTATACCTTAAACATCCATCTTGAAGATGAATGAAAATGATTTGTAATTAAGGTTAATTTCACGTAACATTTGAAAAGGGTCTATCAACTGTTGTAAACAAAACTGCTAGGGCCTATACGCATGAACCGAAGGAGATTTTCCCCTACCCGATGATGTTGTTGGTTTGCGTGGGTGTACTTCCGTTCGCGCGTATACTTCCTATTGATTTCCTATCTACATGGGACTGTTATGCGAATAGCGGCAATATAGGCCTAAGCAAGTTTTGTTTACCAAAAATTATAGACCCTTTTTAAATGATACGCGTGCTATGTGAAATTATTGAAAGAAGAAAGTCTGATTCACCATTCTCGCATCACACTCAAACGCTCAAACCACCCCATGTTCTCTTGTTTGCCTACTATACGGCAAATGAGAACGACCCAAAGTTGAGTTTAGTTCACTCATAATGGCCAAAAGTGCAGGTACGCAGCTATGAGTAAAATTGCCTCGTGGTTTCCTGTGGAAAACCTCAAAAATCTGCCCGAAAACGAGGAAAATTGACGAAAACTTTACTCATTTTAGGAGTAGTACCAACAAACCTGCACGGCCAACTACAACAACTCAGCGAATGAATTCAATTGACTCAGAGTATTTTCTTTCTATACGAAATTTACTCATATTTGGGGAAAAAACAGCAGTTATTCATTAGCTATGAGTAACTGCAGTTCTTTTTTCTAAAATGAATAAATTTCGTATGGAAAGAATATGCTCTTAGTCAATTGAGGGCTACTGTGAAGTATTTCATACAAATCTCTCTTAAAAAATGTATCGCTAAAGGCTTTCCCGAGCGGGATTGAACATCGAGCATTCGCATGGAAACGCATGGTCGCTTTCTTAAATGTTTTTTTTTTCTTAATAAAATTGGATTAGTTATGCATGCAGATTTATTTTATACATCAGTAGGTACTTAGATGTTCAGTCTACAAGACAACGAGAAGAAATAATAAATAACAAAATTGTTTCCATTCAGATCCGTTGAGATTTTACGTTGAGATCTTCTCGAGCGTTCAGAATATGGTGCTTGCACCATTATGCTGTGACTGTCATATCCAAATCTTTTTAATAGGTCCTATCTACATTGATCGATTCTTTCTGGCGTCTACCTCACGTTGATTTTGGTGCTTTCAGTGCTGAGAATGGGCATTGCCATTGAAAATTTTCACGCGATGTTGACAGAATTATTGTTGACATTGTCACTGGAAGAATTATTGACTGTCGCATACAAATAAAAAAAAAATATGTACCTAAACATTAAAATCTGGTTGTCACAAGATAATCACTAACTCTATATTTGCGCAGATGCTTTTTACATGTGCGCAACCGTTGTTGAGAACACTATCTGTTACTAGCGTTAGTAGTTTTGCAGCCGCCACTTGTACAATCAACTGCGACTGTTAAAACCTCTTCAAATTTTAATAAATGCTCAAAGCAATTGAAAAAAGTTTGTGTGATCAATACTTGAGGTGTAAGGTATGCGGAACACGATGCCAACTTTGCACTTTAAAAGGCTGTGAAAGGTAAAATGTTTGCTTTAGATAACAAATTCTCTCAATTTGTATAATTGAATCGAACCACTAAACGCAATCCACCATGAAGAACTGGGTCAACTTATTCGCCTTGCAGCAATATTTGGCAGATTCACTTGCGCTTTGGTAGATGCTACTAATTTAACGATATTCTCACATTGCTAGTAATTGCTCAGATAAGGCGAAAAAATCTAGGTAGGTATGTACTAACATTCAACCGCTTAATCTAAACTCCGGGATGAACCACTCTACTCCATAATAAACATTCCCACAGTTCCGGAAAACAAAGAGGTACCTATTCTCTTCGGACGGTGCACCATAAGCACCAGCTATTTATTACTCTGTGACTACATCGGCCCGAGAATGCTGAATAAAACACCTTTCCCTACCCTTAATGAAATTTTGTCCAGCATGATCTCCCTTACATAACAAATTTGACCCTTCTGGGTCATCAAAAGACTCGGTTATCAGCTTGCACTCAAAGTTTGTAAATCTCTTCAAAAGGTCGTCAATCTTTCGGAGTTATCGAATAAAAAACCAAAACGAAAACAACCATTAATATTAGCTGTAGCCGCACCGATTCTTGCTCCGAGTCTGACATTTCCATTTCTCTCACTTTGCTTCGCACACCGACCAAATTGACACTGGCGTTTTCAGCAGCAGTAGCAGCAGCAGCACCAGCGCCAGCCGAGTGTGTGTTTTAAGCGCGATCAAGCAAGCCTAGAATTTTTTCCCCCCAATCGCATTTTCATCACTTACCTCCTCATCCGAGGAATCCAATACGATTATCGAAGATGGATCCATCTTGTTCAGCCAAATTCTTCACAAAATATACCAATGACTTGCGTTAATACGACGCAATACGAAGTCGTGTAGACATTAAAATTTACTATTTTCGAAAATCTTGCAGATTTTTTTCGCCCTGCTTCTCTGTCTCACTAGCACAAATTCATACGACTTGTGACATATACACTGCCGATTCGAGCATCGACTGCTACTCTACTGCACTAATGTGTAATAACACCAGAAGAGCTTCTCTTTTTTGCCTTCATGTATTCTGATTTTTATTTGTATGGTGCTGAATGAATGAATTTAGACAGGCACTCATTCAATGCGCGCTGAATAACATATACACAGAAGCAAAGTTTCGACAGTGACGGATTAGGCTAAGGTTAATTGCTTCTAATGGGTCCATGAAGTCTAGCACCAAAAGCATTCCGGAGATGTCGAATCGACGAAATTTCAATAGAAACAGATTTTACGCGAACTTTTCACACTTCAGAACCACTTTTAATCAAACACAAGCAGTCTAGAATTGCACCGGATTGTTTGTAAACACCGAGCTTCATGCAAACAGGCGTCGCGCGATAGACTGTTATTCTGAAGAATGCTGGGGGCACGGCTGAAAGAGCAAAATTGAGTGCCTTGAGGTACAAAGGAAATCTGTGTATGGGTGCAGTGCAGCATAGTGAGATACCTCAATTTTTATGTTTTGTGTTTACTGAATGCTGAAAATGGGCTAAGGCAGATAAGCAGTGAAATTTATGTTCTATGCGGGGCTCACGGTGTCTCTGATAGGAAAACATTGTTATAAAAAAATCAGTATCGGTGAAACACCCACTAAATGAAATGTTAGGTGTCCTTCATTCGTTTGAGACTAATTTCAAAATATTCTATGACCCTCTCATTTTTCCTTTCTTTTTTTGGGCTTCAATGGTCGAGAGAGCTAATTTTTGGACGTGATTTACATTGAAAAATACGAAGAAAAAAATTGTTCTAGACCCTCCGATAGAACATTTCCATACTAGTCCGAGGGGCGTTGAACTTCATAAATCAGCTGAATTGTAAATACACACTTCAGAAAATACACAAAAAATACGTAAATGTGTACAGATTAAAACTAAAATACCCTTGAGTATTTAATCAAAAATACCTCGAAAATATTTCGTACACGAAAAATACATTTCATAATGAATTGAATACACTTTAATACAAAAATACGCAAAACTTAAAATACATATATACGAAAAAATACAAAATACACATTTTCAAGTCGAAAATACCCAAGTTGACAGCCCCTCGTACTAGTCTCATACACACCAAATTTCTTAAATTCCATTCGGTACTTTTTTTGCTGAATTCGTTCTGTAAAATATAATTTTTACCGAAAGCTTTGTAAAATATATTGCTGTACCAACTTTCAGCAATAAATAATAATGAATTTCCGTACTTTCCGAAAATTACCGAAAACTGTAAATAAAAATTACTGATCTAAACTGTAAATTACTGCAATTCTACAATACTGTGGCGAACGTACTGTAAAAATAGTCTTTTACAAAAACAAACGATAGTAAAGTACCAGATTCTTGTAAAAGTCACGGAATAGATTTGTAAATGTCATACTGTCAAAAACATGCTTTGCCGCTATTTCGAGGTTGAGTGTTCTTTGGTTCTCCTGTGTGAAAAGTACTTACTTTAATATTTTGCTTTAGTCCGCTGAATGTACGGAGTGGATCATTATTTTACTTTCAATTCAATCCTAGGCCATCGCTTCCAGTCATCTTGGACTTAAGGTGACCTAATGTTTCCCTCAGCTGTAAAAAGCCAATGTCATGTGTGCGCACGTTGCCCTCGATAACCTTGTTTGGATTTCTTGCTGGACCTGGACCTGGAGAACCCTTTTCTTGGCGCCGCAAATATTTAAAAATAATCGATTTTTTGGTGTTAAATAAAACGTTTGCTCTGTTGTAATCATTTAATTTGATGAAAACACAATAAGACATATCAATGGAACAAAACGTTCGGTAATTATTGCTGGTTAAATTGTAACTTATATAACCACAAAGGAAAATAATTTGCAGATATTTCGGTAAAAACATTACTGAACGTTATTGTAAGCTTTACCAATCATTCAGTATTATTCACAGTCCAGGCCAGTAATTTTTGACAGCTCAAGAGTGTAGAGAAATTAACCGAACGAATTGTAAATAAAAAAAAATACCGAATCGATTACCGAATGTTCAGCTGTTCCATATTCGGTAAAAAATTACAGTATACTGTAAAAAAATCATAGTGTGTACGCACTTAATCACGGTTTCCTTGTAATTTTTTTCTACAGTTTTCGATCTGTAAATCACAGTAAATACCAAAAATTTAGCTATTCTTAATAAAACTACTGATGTTCAGTAATTTTTGCGACAAACTACTGAATACGATAAAATTAAGTACTGAATTTCCGTAAAATAACAGCTTTACGGTGAATGACTAAAACCATAGAGCTAAAACTCAGTTAAATCACCGATTCACCCCTCGAAAATCCACTAACCCCTCATTTTATCTGTCAAACTTTCATAGCGAATCAAAACAAACATTGTGTAGTAGTAGAATTTCGACTAGAATGAGGTACGTTAATCGTTTGCTTGGGACCAATCGGCTAGTCTAGTAGTGAGCCAATTTAAAATCGTTAGTTTCGTATTGATTGTTGGTACCAATGTGTTACAATGTGTTATGTCTGTTTGTCTGTGTTAAAATGATGACCATTCAGTAAAGGTAACATGATTACTGACAAGTCTGTCAGTGATATTACGGAAATAATTGATCACAGGAGAGAATTTAAATTTACAGAACATATCATAAAAGAAAATAGCAGAACACATTAAATTATTTTAGAAAATACTGACCTTCAGCAATAACGTTACACATTTCCTTCGGATGGGAAGTAAAGCCGTTGGTCCCCGGTTCATGAGTTGATGGGTCGATAGGTATGGTCCAGGTGTGGGAGCTGCCTTCTTGGCACGTCGGTAGCATTGGTGCTCAGCACGGAAAACAAGATCGACGGAAAAAACAAACCAAAGGAAAAAAAAAGCAATAACGTTACTGTTTTCGAAATTCAAATGGAAACATAGCCGAATGTGTAGCAATTTAATAGCTTTGCTAAGTATACACGCAAACCAAAAATCTATTACAATGAATGTTAGTTCCGTTTCCTATCATCCTCTGTTCATGAACATCGCAACGAATGTTAGAAATTGACCATGCAGGCGATGTAATGGTTTTTTGTCTTTTTTATTTAGTGTTCTATCTACGCTTTCGACTATACCAGTAAGCTTGTAGAACGACGCACATTGTAGAACATTGTAGAACGACGCACACACTTGCCTCGAATCTCTCCAGCAGAAAAAGCATACGAAGTGGAGTATGCGAGAAAATGAGCGCTTCATGTTTGCTTTTGGGCTATCCAAATCAGAAGCATGGAGAGAGCAGTGGAGAAAGCACAGGTCTGATAATCGTTGCGATTATCAGACGTTGCGTTCGTGGTTCGAGTCCCCAGTCCCGGCAATCTGATTTCTATTTTTTTAGACATAACTAATTTACCTCACTAATACCATAGAGGTAACTCTAAGACTAGAAGGTCCCGAAATAACGTGCTCAACTTTTTGGCTCAGCTCTGGTACTCTCTTCGGTCCCAAGCTAATCGATTCACCCCTCGAAACATAGGAAAAACCAATAACCCCTCATTTTATCTGTCAAACTTTCATAGCGAATCAAAACAAACATTGCGTAGTACTAGAATTTCGACTAGAATAGGGTACGTTAATCGTTTGCTTGGGACCAATAGGCTACTAAAGTGGTGAGCCAATTTAAAAATGGTTATTTTCGTATTGATTATTGCTAATACTGTTTTCGGTCTCCAATTTTCTTGCATTGGACCGCAGCTAGGTATATCGCATCCTCGGTTCATGCGGTCTCCACTAACATCCTCTGATGATGAATCCCACATAATTGTAAGCGAATCTTACATCCCCCGGTTGGGTGTAGTCTGCTAAAAAAGTACCGAACATCGAGTATAGAATTAAGGGTGCATTCCGAGGTGCCGAATGATCGTTTTGATCCAGATTTTAAAAATTGCTGCAGGTACTTCCGGTTCCGCTGGGGTTTTCGATCTAGCATTCGCTGCCAGCTTGTCCGTAGTCTCGTTTCAACTGACACCGCAGTGGCTGGGAACCCAGACATATCCGGTGTTACTGTTCGAAGCCATTCTAATTGCTTGCACCAACGGGTGTCGGTTGTGCGGAATACTGGCCAAATCGGTAATGATGGCCTTCCAGGTAAGAGCTGAACTCCGTAACGGTCAAGAAGATGCCTCAACCGAGAAGGTTGACGTAGGCTTACATAAACGAAAATCAATTATTTTATTCATGTGTTTCACGTATTCATTTTTGCCAAAACATCAGCCTCATACATTCCATAAGACAAACCACATAGGTCCTATAAGAATGCATATAAGGTATGTGTGACCGCTTATACATTTCATTTGATAGATAATCTTCATTACCTTTTTACAAGGCGTCTGATTATTAGTTGACTTATACATTTTATGAATAATCAGCAATAGAAATTTGCCAAAAGGTATAAGGAGATTTCTATCCGTGTATGAAGGCCTCTGCTGGTATCTAGCTTGAGACCGAATACGCCATAGCCGACTTCGCTCGCTGTTTTCGAACCATCGGTATAGATGAGCTCGTAACCATTCAGCGTTGTTCTAATTAGCTCGTTGAAGCGCGGGACCACAGTGTGGGAGTTCAGATTTTCTTTGGTTGGTTTATTTAATGCGTATATGATCTTACACGCAAAGAAACCCGAACCGGTATTCGTGAACAAAAAAATCACGGTATCCTGAACTGCTAGTTCATTTGAATTCATGACTTAGTTCCCGTAAACGTGATTGAGTAATCCCAAATCCATGAACTACGTTCATGTCTGCTCAGCGCGACCAACGATTTCGTAACGCTACAGAAAACAGAAAATAAAATCATGATGTCATAATCCATGTGCTCAAGTGTGATTTTCGTTCCTGAAATCGTGACCTCGGATCACATGCAAAGCAGTTACTGTCGCTTTCATTTGCTGTCGAATTTATCCTTACAGAGTGCTCGGATCCGTCGAGAATAGTGTGTTGATTATTAATGAATTCAGCTAAACCGTATGACCAGAATCATGGTCCGACACGAAAAATTGGCTCTCGTGGGTGATATTGGGGGAAATTGATAAACTCCTCCAATGGCTGCCCCGTAACGTGGGTAGATCACCTTTTCGTGGTAAATTACGGGATGTAAGATCTACCACCGATTCCTAGTCTTGACTACTTCAAACTAGGGGAACAGGATTTTACAGTAATCAAAGGAACACATCTTAGTCCTTGTTACTTTTTATGCCTTGTTGATAGTGATAAGTCCTCGGGTTGCGTGGACCGAGGATGATCTTGAAACAAGGAAAAAATTAGTTAGTTAGTCTTCACCTATGTGATTCCTAATCTTCTATTCGTTGTTTCCTAGTTTGAAGTGGTTAAGACTAGGGTTCTGATGCATGGTCATTATCGGTGTCATGTCTTGTTTTTTTTTGCTAAGGAATCCAATTTTGACTGACAAAGGGGCGCGCCTTTGGAGGGTGTTTCAACACTCCGAAGGGTATAAATAGCGGGACCTTTCAATTAGAATCGATTCCTTGCGATAAATGCAAGAATGACAACTGTATCAAAACCGAATACTTCATCATTTCTCAATAGTGGTGGAGTAATACGACATGCACTAAACTAAGGACACGGGATATACTACAATAGATCAAATTACTGGTCGCAGTGGTTTTATGTCGCGAACAGAGGAAAAAAAAAAAAAAAAAAAAAATGGCTTTCGAGTGACATTCTGTGAGACATTAAATTTGGGATCCCAAAATCCTTCTTTTTTTTCTTGATTTGTTTTCCGTCGATCTTGTTTTCGGTACTGATAAGAATGCTACCGACACCAGGAAGGCAGCTCCCACTCGTGGACCCTACCAACTTCAAACTTATGGACCAATGACCAACGACTTTACTTCTCTTCCGAAGGCGTGATCAGAGATTGTATCCCTAAGAAAATGCCAGCGTCGCCGGCTGGGATGAAACCCAGACCCTTTGGGGTGAGAGGCAATCAATCTTACCGCTACACCACCGGCGCCGCTGTTCCAAAATCCTTGTCCGAAATATTTTTTTAATGCAGTTGCGCCTAAATGTAGGCATTTTTTAAATCATTGATAAATTCACAGAATATCATTAATATTCACACTGGAAACATTTTACCAGAAACTCGTTAAAGCTACCATTGGAGTCTCATCATGAAATGTTATCAAGATTTCTCACCAACCAACCAATTTTACCCCGGTGATCAATTTGCCCCCGGATCATATTTACATTTGTTTCGTTAATTTTTTCGTGGCGAAATGTAGATTCCCTACCTTTAATTTATTTTCCTCTGATTTTGTTTTAAATATTTTTTTACATATCAAGCATTTGCAATTCAAACTTCGAAAGTAGATCATATGGGGGTACCCGGATCGTAAATCCGGAACTGGCCACAAGAAAAGATTATGACCGAACCCGGAAGTTGATGGATTCTACGAACCTACTGAGCCAACCACCTTCAACAAACTTTAGCTTAGTATGTAACATATTGGAACGCCTGTGTATTTACAAATAATATTTAATTAATTGACAGCCTATACCTAACACGTGAACTAAGAATAAAACTTTGATTAAAACGACCTGGTGGTGCTATACAGTAAATGGAATAAATTAAGTTACTAGACTTCTGTCGTAGTAAATCACGACAGGTAAGGTGTATTTTAAACGTTCTACTTTGCTAATCCTGAAATTTTCCAAAGACAATTAATCGTCCTAATAAGCCCATAAAAGCATAACAGTCACATCTTTGTTTGATTTCCTGTTCTAATGGAACTGTTACTCGTTTATGGGTAGTAATGATCTTGAATAGAATTGTGCAATAATGACTTACTCGTCCTATCTTACATGAAGCTTCATAAAACGCTCGTCAACATGCATGTCATAATAAAACATTAATGATTCATCTTGTACCTACTGACCCCATGAATCGTAATCATGCAACCTCATACTTTTGGCCGACCGACCGAAAATCACATTCAAATATTCTATACTCACCGATAATCTATAAGGCTTCCTCGCTTTTCCTCGACAAATATTTTCTATCACGAGTAAAAGGTAAAACACAACACAGAAAGCGCATGGACACAAGGAACATCATCAGTACATAGTTGACTGCCGAACTCTCTCCTAACGAGCGATACATCAATCTTTTAGTGATAAGGTTTTCTTTTTGTCGCAAAGCACCACTAGAAGTGATCACACTTGAAAATTGCAACCACAGTGAGTTGTACACGGTCGGTCGACAAGATTGGATGCTGTTTAAATTTTTGGTGCCATGATTCCAACTGCTGAGCAAATTGCACTGTGGGAGAAGGAATACTCTCCTAGCGAATGGAGTAAACGGTTTTCCACGGCAGCCGAGGTCATAGACTTCCACTTGAAGTTGGTTACCGACGGTATAGTGGACACGTGCATCGATGCGTATCGAACAGTGTGTAATTAATGTATTTTTTTTTCTTCTTTATAGTGAGCGACAAAAATAGGAAAGAGCTCAACTGCGAACTGGACGTAGAATATGGTAGTGACGACAGCGAGAAATTTGATATCTACGGTGACGATCTACCGGAAGATGCACCCCTGTTCGTGTACGTTCACGGTGGTTATTGGCAAATGTTGAACAAAAAGGATTCCGCCTACAGCGTTAAGCCACTCGTTCAGAAAGGCTATCGAGTGATTGTACTGGACTACGAGCTATGTCCAAAAATAACACTGGAAGAGGTAGTGAGGCAAATGAAATGCGCCGGCGAATATATTCTCAACTACGCGGAGGAAAATCGTGTCAAGTTAAATTATATCTAAAATGAAGCCACAGTCACTGGGCATTAACTTTTCACTAACTTCCAGACACATTTCATTCGCTGGTCATTCCGCTGGGGCACATCTGTTGGCAGCCATGCTCGACCGTACCTTCGTTGCTACTGTTGGAGACGAAATTCAGCTCGTAAAACATGTCTATCTAATATCTGGAGTGTTTCGCTTGGACGAGTTGCGCTTCACCAAAGCTGTAAACGAGAACAATTTGCTTTCTTTGAATGACGAAAACGTTACGGATCTTTCGCCGGTAACCATCGATTATCAACACTTGTCTGGCTGCGGTATGAAGTTTCATGTATATGTTGCTGAAAATGAGAGCAACGTGTTCAAACAAATGTCGGAGGATTTGCACAAACATCTAAACAAATTTGGAATCGCAAGTTCTTTGCACATTTTACCCGACTTGGACCACTTCGATATTGTAGAGAAGCTCGCAGATAGGGATTACGCAATTACAAGTGAAATACTTAACAACTTTGAATCGTAACACGGTATGTGATTTGAAGGAAACGATTTGATAAACAGTCAATAAAAAAGAAATACTAAAAGCGTCTATTACTTATGGATTATTAATGCACCGAAATGCTTAAGTAAGTATGTACTAAATTTTAATTTACATCCGTTGAAGAGTTTAAGCTATTGTTTGTACAATATGCCGCAGATAGGTTCACCTACCATACCGGCGATACACTCACTCACATCAACAAGCAGATACAAATGATACCAATGATAAACAATAAAAAAAATGCCATGGCCGAACGGCCAGAGAATCGGAGTTTTACATATTTCTTTCTATCCGCACCACAAAAACACAACGTGGGGATCCCGCCCGTGCGCATGCTGTTGAAATTCAGTATCAACTACGAAACACTACAATATATTTCCTCTTTGTTATGGAGTGGTAGAATGTTCCGTGACCGAGAATGTTGTACCCACGGTTACTGAAAGGCATTTGATTGCACTTTTACTACTGTAATCGATCTTGCAAATTAAGCCTAATCAAATGCCTACTTCTCTGCTACCTAGCCGAGCAAGCATCTAACAGGAAACAGAGGACAGTAGCCTACTACGGATCTCATGGGAGGTATGTAATTGCGCACAATTCACATGGCAATAAAGATTTGTACCTCATATGAACCCCGGTAGTTGCGATTTCGATAACATCTTCCACGAAAACGCATATTATAATGTACATACTAAGATGCTTTACGACGCAGCAGTTGTGATTGAGCTTTCCCAAAGAGCAAGTCAACTTGAATAGGTGTGACAATGTCTGGAAGTAGCAGCGTAAGTATTCCTAACATCTTATGAACAACCGAAAGCATTTACAAATATGGTCGATTTAGCCGTTCTTCGAAGTTAACATCCCCGTGCCATTCGGAAGCATCGCGGGAAAGTGGTACGGATCGAAAGATGTTAGACCAATCTTGCTCATCCATGGACTTAGCGATAATTGCGGTACATTCGATCGACTGATTCCGCTGCTGCCATCACACGGCAGTTATCTGGCTATTGATCTGCCAGGACATGGTCAATCGTCCCGAATTCCCAACGGTATGATGTATCATGTAGCTGACTTAGCTCAAGTCATCCTATGGATTATGAAGGCATACAAATGGTCTAAAGTATCCTTGCTAGGCCATTCCATGGGCGCCTTGGCTTCCTTTTGCTTTGTTGGAATGTTCCCTGGAAAAGTTGATCTGTTTATTGCTCTGGATGCGCTGCAGCTGTGTCACTTCGAACAGATTCTTGATCAGCAAGCCAACTTCATTAGCCGGTCAATGCAAGCTGACGAAGATTATGTGAACAACGTTCCAACAAATAAATATACCTACGAACAGCTGATTGATAAAATACACCATTTACCAAGCTGTACAATTCCAAAGGATCTTTGTCATCACATACTTAGGAGAAATATCCGCAAATCGACGCTACTGCCCGAGAGCTACTGCTTCCAGTATGACAATCGAACCAAATATCCAAACATTTTGGGATGGTCCACGGAAGCGAGCGCATTAACTGCAAAGCGGATCAAGTTTCCAGTATTGATTATCAAAGCAACTGATTCTATACCGTATGGAGATGATGAAGAGTTTATGCGTATAGTTAATTCGATAAAGGACAACAATGTTCCTATTAAACTGGTTAACATGACCGGAGGTCATTACATCCACTTGATTGACGCTGACCGGGTAGCAACCGAAATAGGAAAATTTCTAAATGATATTGGTTACTTTGAGAAGTCAGTAAAAAGTAAAATTTGAAGAGACGTCATCTGGTGAGTTGCATTAGTGAGGCAGTTGGGTGATTAGTGGTGCTATCTTCAATTGTATTGCTCTAATTATAAAAAAAAATACATTTATAAAGCGCTATGCATAATTTAACTTCCAAATGTGTTATATATTTCTTCATACTATGTCATGCAACAGGTTTAAATAAATGTATTTGAGCGGTGAACTGCTTCGATTTAATATAAATTTGTTGCAGTTGTTTGATGCTTACTGCTCAATACAGTCAACTCTTCTTTACTGGATATCTCCCTAATTCGATGGAAATCCAGACTTCTTTGATCAATTAAAAAAAACAAAATTTACCTTCATAACTCGATATCCTCCCAAACTCGATGGTCAATTCAATATCAAGTTAGAGAGAGTTGACTGTATTTATGTTGGACTTTAAAACTGGTCTGACAATTTTCTTTGGGATAGTTACCTGTTACGCTCAAAAAATCACGTAGCCTTTGATAAACTCAAGTCCATAATAAGTACGTGATCCACGTAGAATTAACGTGATGTCACTTAGACAAGAAATTTAGACCAAAGTTACGTGATTTTCAAGCCCAATGATATTAACATAATTTCTCATATATGGTAACTGATTTGCAAGTATGAAAAATCAGTGCGATTCAATATGGCAGCCATGCAGTTTTGATATTAGATTGTTATGTTGACTTGTTTTGATTGGTGAGTGACTATTAAATTACAATTTGCAAATTACTAACATTTTAACATTTTTATGTGTAGGACTTCAACAAATCTGGCGCGTTCCTGTCATGAAAAAAAAACATGTAATTCAAACTACATCAGTGTTTGTGTTTACCTCACTTCACTTTTGGTTTGTATGTTCGAAATTAGACAATAAATGAAAGATATTTGAATAATTTTCGAGATTATCATTCAAAACTTAGAAAGCTTCGTATTACAGGGCTTTGAAAAAATTGGTACTTAAAATCACTGTGAAAACTATCAACCAAATCACTTAACTTCGTGGAAATATTCTACGGGAAGTCGAAATGGATGAACGAAAGCTACCAAGATTTTCTATTCTATTAATACTGGGAATATGAGATTAAAAAATCATTACATATATGCACTCAAAAAAGTCCACACGTCTGATCGAATTTTTCATATGCACAATCACATTTATTTTAAGTGTATTTCACCACACTACACATAAATTTCCAGTGTTTCAAACTTTGAAATGTTGATAATCTTTCTCTATCAATTCAAGTGTATTGCATTACTGTTCAAAACAGATGGATTTGAAATGTTTTGCATTTCAATGCTATGTGAATGGCATGTTCTGTAAAGTAAACATCGAAAACATGAGTTGTGACTTCATCCTTATCAACCAGCCTCATATATGAGAACAACCGTGGCCCAGTGAGCTCGAACGAAGACAACGGTAGCAGCACACCCCAACAGTTCAGGATAAATTCCCAAATCAGACACATCAAGAAAAAGGCATGTGTGAGTTCTGCTTTCTGGCAGCTTTGTTTATATATTTGTCGATTCAAATTTGTAGTAAAGTAGAAGTCGATAAAGTAGAATATTGTATAATGAGAGAGAGAGAAGGATTAGTATTTTCCATTTAATTACACTACTTTATTTGCTTATCCTTGACATATACGCGTATTTCGTCTACAACGTGCAGACTTCTTCAGTGTCTTGTACTAATACTCGACTAGTTATAGCAAGTCCAGTATTAGTACAAGACACTGAAGAAGTCTGCACGTTGTAGACGAAATACGCGTATCTGTCAAGGATAAGCAAATAAAGTAGTGGAATTAAATCGAAAATACTAATCCTTCTCTCTCTCATTATACAGGTATTCCACTAAGGCGCCCACATTCATCAGGATTTAGAATATTGTAGAAAATTGAACTATGATGTACAATGCTATTGATATCGCCATGCCATTAGACTCCAAGTGTGTCACAATCCGAATCAATAGTGTTGAGACATGGTTCACAGCATACGATGATGATGACGTGTGTAATGTCTTGAGTGTGGGATAGCCTTCCGTTGATCTTTTTAAAAATTTCCGGGTTTTTCCCCGGTGTATACAAGATAATTTTCCCGGAATAAAACAGCATGAATTTTGTTCACAGCTATTTTTGAAAATCCATGCTTTTACAATACATGAAAATGAATGAAAACAACCGCACCCTGGATCTCTGCTTTGTGAGTGCTCGTGATACAGCTCCTTTCCTCTCCACGGCACCCGAACCTTTAGTCAAGGTAGTTCATCATCACCCTGCTTTAGTTATCGTGATCGAAAATAATATTGTCCATGATTTCACCAGCACTCCAAACGCTGTGTCATATGACTTCCGTAGAGCTGACCATTGCAGTATCGTCCATGTGCTGTCTAATCTAGATTGGGAGCATATTCTAGATCCTGTAGACGTCAACATTGCTGCACAAACCTTTTCTCACGTCTTGGCATATGTCATTGACAGACACGTTTCCAAAAAGATCATCCATATCGACTCTCGCGTCCCGTGGATGACGAAAGATCTTCGCTCGTTGAAAAGAACTAAGAAGGCTGCTCTCAGAAGATTTACTAAACTCCGCACACTGCCACTGAAATGCTACTATGTCAGACTCAACCACGAGTATAAGCGGTTAAGTCATGTTAAGTCGTCTCTGTTTTCAACGCTATCAAAGGAGGATTCAACGGCGGCTAAAATCACACCCGAAATCCTTCTGGAACTTCGTAAATGAGCAACGCAGGGAAGTCGGCTTACCCTCTTCCATGATTTTTAATGGTGAAACTGCTGGAAATCAACAAGACATTTGCAACCTGTTCTCAGCCAAATTTGCTAGTGTGTTTGAAGCCGAGCAACTCTCCGCTAATATCATTACTTCCGCGGCCAGTAATGTTCCTTTGATCAACCAAACGCTCAGCATGGTCGAAGCCACTACAGATACGATTTCTAGAGCAGCATCTAAACTTAAGACTCCAACTAAGGCTGGACCCGATGGTGTTCCGTCGATTATTCTTGAAAAGAACATCACTTGTCTTTTAGATCCACTGCGCCGCATATTCCAGCTCTCTCTTTCCAGCGGCATCTTTCCGTCTTGCTGGAAGACTGCGGATATGTTTCCTGTTCATAAAAAGGGAAGCAAACGCGACGTAAACAACTACCGGAGAATCACGTCGCTGGGTGCTGTATCAAAACTTTTTGAATTGGTTGTCATAGAGTCCCTAAATGCGCATTGCAGGCAATATCTAAGTACAGATCAACACGGATTCATAACTGGGCGTTCCACAACTACGAACCTGCTGTGCCTAACGTCTTACATCACAGACAGTTTGATTGCTCGGACCCAAACGGACGTTATCTACACAGATCTTACGGCAGCCTTCGATAAGCTGAACCACGAAATTGCGATCGCTAAGCTTGATAGGCTAGGGATCGGTGGAAATCTTTTGAGATGGTTTCGTTCATACCTCACGGAGCGCCAATTGACAGTAACTTTGGGTACTTGTCGCTCAGCAAGCTTCTGCGCAAAGTCCGGTATACCTCAGGGCAGCCATCTGGGACCATTGGTATTTCTCCTCTACTTCGACGACGTTCACCATGTTATCACAGAGACACGATTATCGTTTGCAGACGATCTGAAAGTTTTTCTGCGCATCCGCTCACTCGCCGACTGCCGTTCTCTCCAAAATCAGATTGACATCTTTGCTGACTGGTGTAGTCTAAACCGACTGGTGGTCAACCCAGCTAAGTGTACAGTTACTTTCTCACGCAAGAAACAACCGATTATTTTCAACTACAAACTACTAGGCACGACTATCGAACGGTTGCACTGCGTGAAAGACTTAGGCGTTTTTCTAGACTCAAAGCTGACATACTCACACCATATATCGTATGTCGTCGACAAAGCGTCCAGAACGCTTGGCTTTGTCTTCAAGATTACTAAGAACTTCACGGACATTTACTGCTTGAAATCGCTCTATTGCTCTCTCGTACGATCTACGTTGGAATACTGCTCTGCTGTCTGGAGCCCGAACTACAATAATGGGGCCGAGCGAATTGAATCTGTTCAACGACGTTTTCTTCGCTTCGCGCTCCGTAAGCTGCCTTGGAGATACCCACTTCGTCTTCCAAGCTACGAGAATCGCTGCCAATTGATCAATATCGAGCCCTTACGTATCCGAAGAGATGTTTTCAGAGCCTTAACCGTCGCCGATACTCTGCAAGGAAGAATTGACTGCGAAGCAATTCTGCAACAAGTGAACATTAATGTTCAACCTCGATCACTACGCAACAGTCTTATGCTGAGACTTCCACTTCTTCGAACTAATTATAGCATAGGGAGCGCTATTTACGGCTTGCAGCTAGTGTTCAACCGAGTAGCGTCGATGTTCGATTTCCACTTGACACGGAATATGCTTCGCCGAAGATTCTCTGCCTTTTTTGCTGACCGAAGGCGCTTGATACCCAACAGCTAAGTGTAAAATTTAAGACTTATAAATTTTTAGTAACTTGACAATGCTTTCCAAGTTATTTTCGTTTGTAACTGTAGTATATGTATGTCGTCTGTATAATCTGTACTTTTTTTACAACACATCATTGAGACTATTTCTAGTCTGTTGATGCAACCATAACAAATAAACAAATAATACTGATCACAAATTATTTATTGATAGCATATGAAATAAGGGAAAAGATGACGGTTTTATTTTCAAGAATTCAAAAGCAGTTTTTAACGGCGCCGGTGGTGTAGTGGTAAGCGTGATTGCCTCTCACCCCAGCAGGCCTGGGTTCAATCTCAGTTGGCGCCGCCGGGATGTTCTGGGGCATTACATCTCTGATCACGCCTTCCTTCGGATGGGAAGTAAAGCCGTTGGTCCCCGGTTCATGAGTTGATGGGTCGATAGGTAGGGTCCAGGTGTGGGAGCTGCCTTCCTGGCGTCGGTAGCATTGGTGCTCAGCACGGAAAACAAGATCGACGGAAAACAAATCAAGGAAAAAAATAACTGTTTTTCAATTGTTTGATGTACTGCGCCCCTTGCACCTTAACACTATTTTATCCGATCGTAAATCTAAAAACTTTAAATGTTTCTAAATATCTCCTGATACTTGAAGTTGAATTGAGAAATCCTGTGTACTGCTAGCCAAACGAGTAGATTACTAATCATTTAGAACATTTATGAGTAGGAGAACCCTCTGCCAAAATTATATCTCGCAGTTTGTTGCCTGGTTTGTGAATCTTGGATAGACAAACGGATTGCACTCCTTCAAAGTCTTATTGACATGCTTCACTATCGATGAGAGGGTTAGTAATTTTTGTTTAGCAATTCGATTATCATTTCAGTTTTTATAAAAGAATACAAGATCATTATAAGTTTTTTTTTTAAATCTAAAAGTTTCATACAACAAATGTAATATCAGTTCTTGCAATGGAAGTGAGTTTTTCCAGAATGTTAATTTTTGTATAAAACCTTCACTAGATGATTTTCTAGACGCAATGCAATTGGGGAAACAATATTTGTTCGAAAAACAAGCTAACGACTCTTATTACGGGTAGTGAAGTGAAGTAAAGTGACATGTCAGGCAGAACATTTGATAACGGCACAAAAGCATTTGTAAACAAACTTTCTAAGGCCCTTTACACGCGAACCAAAGTACGCCCACGCAAACCAATACCACTTTCGGAAAGGTGATAGTTGCCCCTATCCGATGATGATATTGGTTTGCGTGGGCGTACTTTGGTTCGCATGTAAAGGGCATCAGAAATTTTGTTTACAAATGCTCTTGTGCCTGATGTTATCATTCATGATGAAGTGATTCCCGGACAAATCAAATGGGATCCCCGTTTTTATTCCCGTGAGTGAAAAGTTGTCACTTCACTTCGAGGGGGCGACATATCTAAATCTCAATTCTAGATGTACAAAAAATCGTCATCAATCTTCTTCGTCCCCCTCGCTTCACTTCATATTCACTGTGAAGTGACACCCGTAATAAGGGCCAACATAAAAATTACAAAATTATTATTTTAGAAACCTTCCGTTGACCACATTACAGAATCTTTTCATGTCGCAAAACATTGTAAATTCAGCATACTTTTCATCCAAATCTGTAATAGAATCTAACATTTCTCGGTTGGGTGTAGCCTTTGAATACTGACTAAAATTCTCCAGGCAACGGAATACGGTATAATGATAGCTGCTTCCATCGACAAAGTTAAAAAGTTCCCTTATAAAAATAACCATAAAAGAGAACTTAACGACGTGTTCGGGGTATCATCCAAACCATTTGTGGGATAGTTTACCCATCCGGGATACAGTTCGTTTATGGTATTTGTTTATTAGGGTTGTTCAGGTGGATAAAGTTTAACAAACAATCAATACGCAACTATCGATTTAAAATTGGCTCACTACTTGACTAGCCTATTGGTCCCAAGCAAATCGATTAACGTACCGCATTCTAGTCGAAATTCTAGTATTACACTATGTTTGTTTTAATTCGCTATGAAAGTTTGATAAATAAAATGAGGGGTTCGTGGATTTTCCAATGTTTCAAGGGGTGCATCGATTAGCTTGGGACCGAATATAGTATTAGAGCTGAGCCAAAAAGTTGAGCACGTTTCTTCGGGACCTGCTGGTCTTAGAGTTACCTCTATGGTTTAACCATTTGCTTTTTTCCCATACCGCATTGTTACATAATGGTTCCATTTCCGATAACCATCATGATTAAGAATAGAAAGGCTATGTTCATAAATAATCATTAATCGGTTTCACTTTGTTTGAGACGCAAAGGCCGTTCGCTCGTTTGACAATTCGAATTGTGGACAACCGTAATGCTCCTGTGGCATGTCGGTTCGTCGGTGGTGTAAATCCGAAGAAAATACATAACAAACTGCTGTCACACTCATTTTTTCAGATGGAGTTCCATACAGTTCTTGAGGCTAGCACCCGAGGAAAATAATAAACAACCGAGGTATCACAATATAGTCAAACATTGTTGGATTTTTCTGTCCTATATATTTTAATATTGAAAACAATCAATCTTTTTTTCCGTAAAATTGTCAAGTCGGAGTCGGAAAATTGTTCACTTACTCCACAGCCCTGGTTTTTATAGTCTACAAAATTTAATGTTCTATCGCTGGTACAAAACAGGTCAGAAATGTCACGATATTTTATGACTACTGTGTAACGAATATCTCGCTTAACATTTGAAAAGGTCCGTTACTTTCAAATGTTAAGGGAAAAATGTTAAAACCCAGTACTCGAGATGTGACTCACTGCCAACTTATGTATCTTTCTTTTCATTTAATGAACATTAATTTCAGAAAAAAAATGTTTCAATAATTGTTGAGGGTTGCTTACTTTATGGAATAAAACAAAAAAAAGCTCATTTTTGGGTACAATTTTAACTCAACAAAATTTAATTATCGTGTTCCTTCCTACCATCGACATCTCTCTTCCAATGTTTGCACAAAAAATTCGAAATTATCGGTGCCAACTTCTCCGGCTCGGTCAAGTGCATGTGATGAGTGCTGTCCACAAACTCCAGCTCGAATAGGGGATTCGTCTTCTTCACAAGTTCCACAAATTCGTCAAAATATTTCTTATCTTCGTAGTAGCTGGACTTCAATGCTTTCAGGAACAGATACGGCATCGTCATCCTTTTGGCCAGCTCCAGATTCACGTCCTGACCCCAGCCTACACCAACGCTGTATTTGAGTCTACTATCGCGCGTGAAGTAATATTTGTCTGGATGCATACTTGACTTTTGTATGTTACGATTTAACAGGTACGGTGCAGCCTCTTTAGTAACAGATTTAGTCGTTCCTATGTAAAGGCGATTAACTAGATCCTCATAAGTGTAGCTAGGTGGTTCCGTTTTCGCGCGGTTACGAAAGTCGGCAACCAACATTTGAGGTATTCGTTTTTCCAAGCGTGAACCTAATTTGGCCGGATCCGATATGTGCGGTTTGAGGGCATCGAGACCAATGTTGAAGTCTACCTTGTCCGGAAAGATCGAGGAGAAAATGAAACTGACAATAGATCCCATTGAGTGTGCCATAAAGGAAATTTTCTTCCACTGATATTCCTTCATTATTAACTTCATCAGGTAAACGCTATCAAGCGTATGGTAGGTCATGCCGTCTGGAATTCTCGACGATAAACCGTGCCCTGGGAAATCCAATGCTAAAAAGCTCATATGGTGGGGTAGAAGCGGGATTAGTCTATCGAAAGTTCCTGCATTATCTTGCCAACCATGCAGTGAAACAATGGGACGTACGTCCTTTGGACCCCACCACTTGCCTGCAATTTCACCGTATGGCACCGGAATCCGAACTTCCTGAACCTGTTGATGGAATAACGCGAGTTATTAATGTACATATCGAACTTTGGACTTGTGACCTCAAAGCATGACGTTCCACTTATTCTTACCTCACGTTTCTCAATACAGTGCGATTCATCACTTTCCTGCTGTTTATGTACGAGTCGCCGACTTATCGTGGTCATCGCTGGTACATTGGGTACACGAATCATCTGTCCCAGGAAGCCGATTTGGGGCACCAGAGCTTTAAACTTAGTCATTTTTGTCTACGACCGGAAAGTTGTATTGAGATTGGATCTTAATTGTTGAATAGATACCATGCGGATGCAACCCTTACCTTGAATCTGATTTAGCACGCGGAAGTTGTACACGACTTGGGATGATTGCCTTATCTCTCGCTTATCACTACTAATAACATGTAATTACCATGCGCAAGGAGACTTCAAACACTTCCACCAGTTATCCAATGTATCAAAACGCACCAAGCTTAATATTTATTGATATTCGAGCCAATTCAATCGAATGTTCACACTAATGAAACTTGCGTTAATCGTCAGACTTTTTTCATCAGAAACTTTCGCGTAACTGCATGAACATACATTAAAGTTGTTCACTCTGTCCTGTCTAAATTTCTTTGCCTGACTGACAGCTGTATTAACAAAAAAAAACTCCTTCTCACACAATCGCAGTAAGCACGTGAGTTTCGTAAACTGTACATACTAATACGATACAAGAAACAGCATGGTCATGGGAATGAGTATGGGTATCGTAGAATGAACTTCATTCATATTTTTCAATATAACACAGTCGGTATTTTATATGGATTTGTATAAAAGTTGCACTGGATGTGATCAAAGCAGTTCATGAAATATGAAAGATTGTAATGTTTTTTTGTTTTCCTGATGGTATAAAGCCAATTTAGAACAAATTTCAGAATAACAGTAAAAACGGATCTGTACGTAAACGTATTATCTAGTTTAAATTACAAGTCATTTACGGAAACCTATACGTAAATCAATCCATTTGCAAGGGCCATCACTTTTTTGGATCCACTATCTGCGATATGACGTTCGCCTGTTTCACTTAAAACAGCGCAACACTCGCCATGATTCAGTATAAAATCTACACTCGAGTACAAAGGAGGACGAAATAATCTGTATTCACTAGAATTAGCCTTCAAACGATTAGACACAATTACATTTCAAGAATGACTAGCAACAACAACTCAGCGATATCGGAAAGTGAACTTCGCACAACTGATCTACATCCCATGATTAGATATATAGAGCTGAACGATAGGAAGCACAATGTAAGCCGAATGATTCCCAGGTTGTAGGTTAATTGCTAGTAACTTCTTCTTCTTCTTTTGCTCTATTGTAGGTAACTGAAGTGGAAATCTCTATCCCTTACGGAAAAATCGCAGGAAAATGGTTCGGACCGAAGAACGTTCAACCGATACTGTGCCTTCACGGATGGTTAGACAATTGCGGTACTTTCGATCGTCTGATACCACTGTTGCCAGCGGATATGAGTTTTCTAGCTATCGATTTCCCTGGCCACGGTCACTCTTCATGGGTCCCAGACGGTATGGCCTATCACCAGTTGGAAAGCGTGATTCTTATACAGCAAATCATGGACGAGTACAAGTGGGAAAAGTTGGCAATTATGGGACATTCCATGGGAGCTATCATCGCTTTTATGTTCACAGCCTTCTTCCCCGAGAAGGTTGAATTTCTCATCGGAATTGACGCCTTAAAACCTCACAGCTACTATCCCGGCAAGTTCGTACAGTTTGCAGCACCTTTGCTGATGAAGTTCGTCGAAGCGGACAAAAGGAATCGTCACAAGTCGGAACCACCTTCGTACACCTACGAAGAAATGGTGGATAAAATGCACGAAGCTACATTCGAGTCTGTGACCAAAGAAACCGCTCCATTTATACTACAAAGGAACATAAAACCATCCAAGAAGTTCCCCGGAAAGTACTACTTTGACCGTGACAACAAGGTCAAATACAATAACATTCCCGGTTGGTCGGACGAAGTGAACTGGGATTTGGGTAAACGGGTGAAGGTGCCACATTTGACGATCAAAGCGGAAGATTCACCGTATCCGGGCTCCTGGCAGGGTTTCAAACCTATGGTGGCAGTACTGAAGGAGCACAACCCGCTGTTTCAGGTGGAATTTGTGAAAGCATCTCACCACGTGCATTTGACCGATCCGGAACTTGTTGCACCGATAATAAATGAATTTCTGAAAAAGTATTGGATCAAACATTCTGATAAGCTTGCCAGTAAATTATAAACTTTTTTAATATTATCCAAATAAAGTGATAAAAAATAGATAAAAGATATAATCTCGGTAGGTGATATGTCAAAACTGTACAATATTGTATGTTTTAATAGATGTACATTAACAGCATTGGAGGCAAAATAAAGTATTGACGTTTTTCGCGTATAATTTGATTTTTTTTTTCGTTTTCGCCTTAACGAAAATTGAGATCTTAGTAAGAATCATGAAAACAATTTATTTTGCATAGTCAACTTAGCAAGAGAGAGAGAGAGAGATCGAAGTAGGCCGCGCTGCGAAAATGACGTGTTTTTGTTTTGCTGCGTCGTTTTCGTTCTAGTGAAAATGCTATAAATTTACAATTTCATTATTAAAAAATGTTAATTTGAAAGTACAGAAGTGATGTTGAAAAGTGCATTAAGTGAACATTTTCATATTCTTATCCGTTGCATGTGGTGCCCGACTGTTCTAACCTAAGCGTGGTTACTCTCAGCTAAGTTTATTTAGCTTTTCGTTCTTCTTTCCTCGATAGGAAATATCCATCTAATTCAAGATGATCATTTCAAAACTTACTAAAAACGCGTCAATCAAGTATTGCACTACTGCTTGATTGAAAGTTTCAGTACATTATCAATGGTGTATACTTGCATCGATAATGTATTGGAGCGGGGCTTATCCTGTTTGAAAATAGCTTCGGAATGCTTGCGTTCTTGAAATGGGCTATTGTAGCTGCGGTAAGTCTCCCCCTACCCGATGGTGATGTTGATATGCGTTGGCGAGCCTTAACTTTCTAGAAATTATCGAAAGAAGTCATTGTTTACAAAAGCTGTTACGCCCTAATTCCAGCTCTATCTAGAATTGTGCATTGTATATTCTTCTTCTTTGACTTTATGACGTCCCTACTGGGACTTTCCGATATTTATGGTGACCACCAGTGAATCCCGATTAGCGGTTGTGCGATGTAAATACATTTAAATTAAGCATAAAACCGAAAGCAGAAGGGATCACTATGTTAAATGTGAGTCATTACTAAGATAGCACAAATTTTCTTGGATCTTGAACATGGTTCTGCGTTCGAAGCGTTAAAAATTTGAACTTAACTTCCTTGAAAATTCACTCAAAATTCTGTATAGAATTGTATTGGAATGCTTTCAAACATTTCCTTTCGAATCCCTTAGAATGTCCCTTCACAAAGTTTTTGACGTAGGATTGCGTCTTTCGGCAACATATTGGGGATGCAATTTCAAAAAACCAAAATCGATCGCGTTACCAAAAGTGGTCAGGTTTTGACCACTTATAACTCTGTCAATAGCGGGTGGATTTTAGATGAAAACAAGCTAATCGATTGGAAATTTTTCTACAATTCTGATAAACTAAACACTTTATCAAATTTTCAATGGGTCACTATAGATAATTACACAAATGTCCAACTGTTGCAATTGTGATCAAAATTATCACCAATTGCCTGCAAAAAAGCACTTTCCCTAACACAGATTTCAAAATCGAATTCCATCCGGTATCGCCGTGTGTGGTGGTGTCCGGTCGGTCGTCATCGAGCAGCAACAGCAGCAGTGCTTTCGACGCGTGGCGTTGAACATTGTTCCCCAGTACACAACCACAACCATTGTTTACATCTGTGAATTTTCATAGTTTTTGATACAGTAGTTCCAGTCATGTTGTCGAAACAAGAAATTGTCCATGAAAAAATGTTGTGCACTTACAATCAAAATCAAATGTGCAATTCCACGGATGGATTGCTAAAAAGCTTGGAATTGCAAATACAACTCCGGAGTGATTTGAGATTTGGACGTAATTGTTTTTGTGAACAAACGCTTGACTTGACGATTTTTCGCGAATAAAAGCTCAGCCTAGAAAATTAACAACACAAACAGGTAAAGGAATAATTTATCTAGCATGTGCTGTAATTTGATTCCAATATTGAGCTTTTATTCGCGAGAAATCGGCGACTGACGTGTTTGTTTACAAAAGCAATTACGCCCAAATCTCGAAGTTCTCCGGAACTGTGTCTCGTGTAATAAGAACCTTCAAAAAGCGTCTGAGTGCCCTGTCTGAGGTCGTAAAAGTGGTCCAATAGATAGTAATGTTAACGGTATCGAGTGGACTGTAAATTTTGGGGGTTCGGTTTCTACGAACAATCAATAGTCAATCTAATAAAAAGCGTCTCGATTCTCATGACTATGGAGCACAACTAACTTTATTCGGTCAAACAAAAGAACAGAAAAGGACTGTGTGTTGTAATTGAATTGTTATCGCACAGGGTGTGCCAAAGTCTTGCGGTTGGGGAGCGCAGTAGGGATGCGCAAATCATCGAACATGCTCCCCGGCGTTGAAATGCCGATTTCAAGTCTCATGGACAAATGGCAGCAAACAGACCTCCGTCACAGCACGCTTGAACTCTCCTCCATTTGCTGTTTTCACCGTAACGACACGTGTCACGCTATCCTGTCCGGGGTGCACGGCTGAAATCCTTCCTAGTGGCCACTGCAGCGGCGGTGCGTTCTGGTCCACAAGCAATACTAGCGAACCCTCTTTGATTTCGTTCGTTTTCAGCCACTTGGATCGAGTCTGGAGTTCCGGCAGGTATTCCGCTGTCCATCGTTTCCAGAAGTGCTGCAGCATGGTCTGCACGAGCTGCCACCTTGATAAAGTGTTCTCCTTCAAATGCAAGTACGACGGTTCAGCAATGGCTTGCATCTCGCGGCCTACCAAGAAGTGAGCAGGTGTTATAGCTGTGTAGTCGTTTGGGTCATCCGAGCTAGGCGCCAGGGGTCGAGAGTTTAATACAGCTTCGATTTGAGTCAGCGTAGTATACAGCTCCTCGAAAGTCAATTTCCGGTCACCGACAATACGCTTGAGATGATGTTTCACTTGTTTAACGCCAGCTTCCCAAATGCCACCGAAGTGTGGACTTCGCGGTGGGATAAAGGACCATTCGATTCCCTTGTTGGTACAGTACCTCACGATCTTTCCTGTAGAACATTGGTTCTGGAACAGTAGCCACAGCTCATGCAACTCGGTCTTGGCTCCGACAAAGTTTGTTGCATTGTCAGAGCGCATTGTTTTCGGATACCCACGTCGGCTGTGGAATCGTCTCAAAGCAGCAAGAAACGCGGCCGTCGTCAAGTCGGAGACTAATTCCAGATGTATGGCACGGGTTTGCATACACACAAAGAGACTCACGTAGGCCTTGGTAATATAGGGCTTACGAGCAGTAGACGATGACTTAAGCCAAAAAGGCCCAGCGTAGTCCACACCAGTGTCCGAAAAGGCTGGAGCAGGTCGGATACGATATGATGGCAAGTCACCCATCATCTGAGTTGTCTTCAACGGATTTGCTCTAAAGCACACCATACAATTTCGAATCACCTTGCGAATTGTATTTTTCACGTTCAATGGCCAGAATCGTTGTCGTACGATGGCAAGTAGACCTTTCTGCCCGATGTGAAGGTTCTCTAGATGTAGGTGTCGGACGAGTGCTTCCGTGATCGGGTGCTTTGCTGGCAGCAACATCTGGTGTCGACTATCGTATGGTATGAACGCTCGCTTGATTCGACCTCCGACTCGTAACACGCCGTCTTCCGGGTCCAAAAACGCTTTCAATCCGTTGAGTCGATGCTTTGCGTCCGTGCCGCTCATCAGGGCGAGAATCTCTGGTTGAAACGTTTCGTGTTGAACCAACCGTACAATCACTATTGTTGCCCGCTTTATTTCTTCAGCAGTGAGCGGGCCCTTTAACAACTCCTTCTTCCTGGATATGATGAACATCGCAAAGCGTACCAGGTAGGCTGTGCTACGCACAACCTTCGTGAAATCGCTAATCTTGTCAAACATTGGCATTCTTTTGGTGAGAGCAGTCACAGCCAGTACTACGCCAGCACGCATTTCCGGTAACTCTTCATCCGGAATAGCTACTACATCTGTCATCTCTACAACAGAACCGTTGAATGTGGGTGGGCCAGTCCACCACATCTTAGACTCGAGTAATTTTTTCGGCCGCTCTCCTCGGGATATAAGGTCGGCCGGATTCTCGTCCGTAGGAATATATTTCCAGCTGCAATTCGGGGTAAGTTTCTGTATTTCACTTACACGATTCGAAACGTAGGTATGTAAGACGTTCGGTGGTTTGCTGATCCACGCTAACACTATTTTTGAATCACTCCACAGATTCGTCGACGCGAAGTCTAATTCCGTAGCGTCCTGCAACTTCACAGTCAGCTTGGCGAGTAACAAGGCCGCCAACAGTTCAGCACGAGGAGTCGTGACAGCCTTAGTTTTCGCCCTCTTCATCGGTAGAATGCGGGATTTACTGCAAACCAGTTTCATCTGAGCGGATCCGTCTGGAAAAACTGCTCGTGTATAGAGGCACGCTCCGTACGCCACGTCGGAGGCGTCCGCAAATCCATGCAGCTCAAGCTTGAACGCACCATTCCAGGAAATCCACCTTGGCATTCGCACCTTGTTAAGGACGGCTATTTCTGTGCGAAAATTTAGCCACTTGGATCTCACTTCATAAGGGACTGGCTCGTCCCAATCAATCTGCATTTCGCCAACCTCTCGCAGAATCAGCTTTGCAGTTGTAATCACGGGGCCGAAGAAGCCCAGCGGATCGAAAATCTTGGCCAGCTGGCTTAGAAGCTTGCGACGAGTCACTTCATCCAAAACGTCGTATTCCGGAACCGATACAGAAAACCAATCGTCGACCGGATCCCAGGTCATGCCAAGAGTCTTCACGATCGACTTCGAATTTTCGTCAGATACTACGAACGAGTTTCCTCGTAGCTCTTCAGAAACACCTTTCACAATATCGGGGTGGTTGGCACACCACTTATGAGCGCCAAAGCATCCCTTCGCCAGCAGATCCGTCACTTCTCGTTGGAGCTTGCATGCTTCAGCTAGCGTATCGGCACCTGTTAGGATGTCGTCCATGTACGTCCCTTTTTCGACGATATTTGCGGCTTCCGGAAATTCCTCCTTGTGATCAACTGCAGTTTGCTTGAGCGCCATCGTTGCTTGGAACGGTGATGATGCCAGGCCATACGTAACCGTCTGCAGCTCTCGGACGGTCAGGATGTCATCTTTGTTGTACCTCCAAAAAATGCGTAGGTACCTTGTATCTAACCAATGTACGCCAACTTGACGAAACATTTTTGGAATGTCCAGCGTAAAGACGAACTGGAATCCTCGGAAACGAAGCAAAATCGCGATGAGATCACTCTGAACACTTGGTCCAGTCATCAGTATATCGTTGATCGATACACCCGAGGACGTTCTAGCCGACCCATCAAATACAACTCTTAATTTGGTCGTCGTACTGGTGGGTCTCAGCACACAGTGGTGTGGCAAATAGTACACCGATCCTGGTTCCTCCGTTGTCTCCTGAATCTCTCGCATGTGCCCGAGTTGTTCGTACTCTCGGATGAACAGCGAGTACTGCTCCTTTAATTCTGGTTGCTTGTCTAGCTTCCGCTCCAGGTGCAGAAAGCGTTTCAGCGCCATTTCACGTGAATCTCCTAGTTCGTGCTTGCGTTCGTTAAAGGGGTGACGCACAATGTACCGCCCTTCCTCATTTCGTAGGTGTGTGCGACGGAAATGTTCGACACACTTCACTTCATCCGCTGTAGCGGATGGGCGAATTTCATCACAAGCCTCCACCCTGTAGAAGCTCTTCAGCAGATCGATGATCGGGTCGTCGTCAGTTGTTTGACAGAAAGTGCGCGCAACGACAGGTGCATCGCTCGCGATTATTCCTCCAGCAATCCATCCCAGCTTCGTGTTTCGTAGTATTGGAAGATTCGAACCAAGTTCGATTTGGCCATCCTCCATCAGGTTCCAGAAGTATTCAGCGCCGATTAACATATCGACACGTCCTCGATTGTTGAACGTCGGATCGGCCAGCACCTGCTCGCTCGAGATGGGCCACTCCGAAACATCGAATGATTTCACCGGCAGATCACCAGTGATTCGTGGGGTAACCAGTAGATCTAGGTCAGTAGTGAAGTCAGCGTGACAAGACCTAATCGTGGTGCGCAGCATACGGCAAATCCTAGTTTTCTTGCCGTTCAGACCGCTAACCGTGAAGTTAGCAGGTACCATTTTCAGTGAGAGTAGGTTCGCAAATCGTTCTGTCACAAAATTCATTTGCGAAGCGGAATCCAGAAGCACACGACATGGATATGGAGTGCTGCACAAGCCGTTGACCAAAACAACGGCAGTAGAAAGTAGGGTCTGCTTCTCGGAATTCTCAGCACACAGGGTTGTTGACGTTCCTGCTGTAGTGCTGGTCATCAGGTTTCCAGCTGGTTTTACGACTGGCGTGGAATAATCAGTCGTATTTGAGGAAGTGGAGCTGTTCACGTTTTTAAATGCGTCTTCAACGTGGAGCGTAGTGTGATGTTTCTTGCCACATTCCCGACAAGAACGTGACGATGCACATGCACTGCTCTCTCCCTAAGCAGTTGAAGCAGGCGCCGCACCTTTTTAGCACTTCGTATTTCTCACTGACACTTTTGTTTTTGTAGGCCTCGCACTTCCAAAGTTCATGGCTTGCCTTACACACTGGACATTTGTATTCAAACTTGTCATTCTTCATATCACTTGTCACTAGCGTATGGCTCCTAGCCATCGCTTTCGGTTTAGCACTCTCCGTCAACGGCTTCATACTCGCGTCGAGCTTTTCGTAAATTCGACACTGCTCTTGCAGAAAGTCTATCGTTGCAGCGTACGTCGATAGCACATTCTTCTTCTGACGGGCTTCCCAGGCCACCCGGAGCCTTTTATCCATCTTCGCTGCGATAAGATTCACCAGCATCTGTTCTCCGAGTCCATCCACCGGTAAGTTCTGATGCCGCAAGCCCTCCACGTTCTTGGTGCTGCTGTCGATCAATTTCCTCATGTTCGCTGCGTTCTCCTGGCTAAGCTTCGGCAGGTTGAATAGATTTTCAACGTGTTTGTCAACAACGACACGTTTATCTTCGTACCGCTGTGTAAGCAACATCCATGCGGCATCATAATCATTATTATTTATCAAATCTTCGTCGATGATGCCAGCTGCTTGCCCGACAAGACTGTTTCGCAGATGGAACAGTTTCAATGCTGGTTCCTCCTGCTGGTAGCGGTTCATCACGGTGGTAAACAAAGACTTGAACGAATACCACTTTTCGTAAGAGCCGTCGAATGTCGGCAAGGGCACTTGTAGCGGTGGGAGATACGGATGGATTGGAAACGGTGGAACTGGATTCGGATGTCCGACCGGGAGAATCAGATCAGTTTCTGTTTTCGTCACCGCCTCGATCAACATACACAATTGAACGGAAACGTCGTTGTATAGCGACTCGAATTCGATGTAGCTCTCGGTTTCTTCTTCTTGGCGGTCTTCAGAGAGTGGTAGTACATAAATCTGATTCTGAATACTATTGCACTCGTTATAACAGTTCTCTACAGTCTTTTTGTGGAACTGAAGAAAATGAATGTTTCTAATGTTCGGATTCGGTTGATCCGCACTGTACTGCAAAGCAGTGTTAACACGGGCCAGTTTGCCATGAACTGCCACTCTCTGATTGACTAGCCCCTTGAGCTGCTCTTCCATCCTTTTATTTTCTTCTTTCTTTTTCTTCTCCACTTTTTGTTCAGCAACAGGTGTAGCTGGCTGTACAGGCGTTCTCGGTGTCTTTGGTGGCATCTTCTTTTTCACTCGCGCACACAACTAAACCGCCATTTGCAAAAAATCCCGCTTTAGCTGTACGAATTTTTAGAAAAGGGCACTAATGCACTTGAAAACGCCTTAGCGTCGGAAACGTTTCGGAACGGATCAGATAGGAATTCTTCTTTCACTTTTCACATGTAGCGACCGCTTTGAGCCAAGCTGCTAGCGCGTCACTAACACCGGTTCGACCGCAGTACAAAACCGATGCTCGGATTGAAATTCCTCACTAGAAATCACGTACTTTATTCACGTAAACCGCGTCGAAATCCACCGGTTTCTCAGGATCCGGCTCGAAGGACCACTTTGTTAACGGTATCGAGTGGACTGTAAATTTTGGGGGTTCGGTTTCTACGAACAATCAATAGTCAATCTAATAAAAAGCGTCTCGATTCTCATGACTATGGAGCACAACTAACTTTATTCGGTCAAACAAAAGAACAGAAAAGGACTGTGTGTTGTAATTGAATTGTTATCGCACAGGGTGTGCCAAAGTCTTGCGGTTGGGGAGCGCAGTAGGGATGCGCAAATCATCGAACAAGTAAAATGGCCAGGAAATTGGTGCAACAGTTCAAGAACCGTCCAAACATGTCAATTCGAGATGTCACTAAAAAGTCCAAGGTGTCTATCGAAACCATGAACCATGAAGCGTGCTGGGTTACATGTTAACAAGGTGCAAAAAGCCCCAAACTGGAATGAAAAGCAAAACATCACTGCGAAAACCCGCGCTTGGAAACTTTACACGAAGTTGCTCATCAAATATTGTTGCATCGTGATGGTAGACGAAACTTACGTCAAGGCCGACTTCCGTCAACTTCCCGGGCAAGAATATTTCGTTGTCAAGCCTATGTTCGATGTTCCGGAGGATGTTCGAAAGAAGAAATTATCGAAGTTCCTGTATACTCTTTAATGTCTTTTAAGAGTTAATTTTAATTGCACGTTAACTCGCCTTGCTGCCAGCCACATTACCTCCAAAGTTCATTGATAATGTACCCAGCAACCAAACGTTTGTGGTCAAATGCGTAACAGTATTGAAGTGGTATATACAAATTCTCGCAATGACCGAGTACCACATGACCTTGTCAATTAACCAGAAACACTTCGAATTAAGGTAAGGTTTTCTCCAGGACGCTAGAAAAATGCAAAAAAAATCTCGAATTTATATGATTGATCGTGAATATCTCCCGAATGAAAAATTTGAGCAAGAAATTCTTCCAATCAATTTTCGATTATTTTTATTATCTATTGAATAAACCGAAAATTCCGTGCGTTTTGTGTACGAAAACTGCGTAATTTTGCCATCAGAAAACGAGGCGTTTCCATGATGAAAAAAAAAGGTTTCCCTATCACAGTCGCTGAATATTGATACCGAGCACGTAATCCTACGTCAAATCTACGGTCGTGTCTTGGATACAACCTCTTACTTTTTATTCAGAATTAATCTAAAACAAATTTGAGATTCTCTCTGGGAGTCTCTTGAAAATTTCTTTATAACAGTCCATAAATTCTCTACAGAACAATCCAAAAAATGCATGAAACTCAACCTATGCTTCTCTTTGTTTTTTAAAGTTTTTCTATGAATTCATTGAAGCTTCCGTCCATAATGTTATTTAAAAATCGGTAAAATTCTCTTTAGGATTCCCATGCAATTCACTTAGAAATGTCTTAAAGCTTTGCTCAGAATTATCTTGGAGAACTCACTTTCGTTGAAATTCCCTAGAAATTCATTTCAAGATGCCCTTGGAATTATCCTCGGAATTCCTTTGGGTACCCTCAAAATTCGATTCTCTTGGTATTGTTCATGGATCCTGGAACTCTCTTCACAATCATTATGGAATTTTCCACAGAGCTACTTAAAAATTCTACTCGGAACTCACAAAATTGACTTGAAGTTTAGTTAGAACTAATCCAACATGAAAGGAATACTGACTTGGAATCCGCTATCTACACGTGCAGCAAATACTATTTTAGGGTTTTTTGTGTATAAATTGCCTATTTCGTTTTGATCCGCGAAATACACACCCTTATCTCAACTACTACAATCTCAAAAATGTTGTAATTCAACACTCAAATGTTGTACGTGACCACTTTTATGTGTCATTGCTAGTCCATAATAACCCCACGATCCTTGAAATTAAATCTCTTGGAGCAACTGCTCTTCTTTGAATCATTCTTTGGTGATTAGTCAAGTACTTTAGTACAATCGGAAGCTAATATAAGATGTTTTTTTTGTGAATTCTTGTACTCCCCATAAAGCATGTCAGTTGTCAGTCTCATTCGAATAAACAGCAAGTCAAGAAAACAGCGTTGAAAATGTATTGGATCGATGAAACAAACGATATTTTCTGAACAAAATAATGTAATTTTTTGGGCACATTGTAAAATCCTGGTATTTTACAATCGGTGCCAATTGTTATTCATTTTCACAAAAATCCATGCCACTGTCTACGTAGTTTATGAACAGCCTCTTTTTAGATAGTATATGTCATAGAGAATTGAAAACAAAAATACAGAGGCGAAATTTCACAAACTGATGGATTAGGCCATCCAAAGTACCTTCCAATAATAAAAATAATTACCAGTATATTTCATTTATTGAAAATTTCGAATGAAATTTGGAATTGAATTTAGGAACAATTTCACCATTAAAATGCAAACTTCCCATATAGTCAAACTTCACAGCTTACTGACAATATCCTCATCTTTGCTCCAGTATTTGCTCAAGAATGCCGTCACAATGGGTGCGACACGTTCCGGATTGGACAGGTGCACATGATGACTTCCCTCGACGGTATGTATTTCGAAGTACGGATTGTTTGCTTTCAGTAAATCAACCACCTGATCATAGTACTGTTTCTTTTCGAAGTACGGCGATTTCAAAGCTTTCACAAACAGAAATGGCATATTAAGCTGTTTGGCCAGATCGACGTTCACCTCCTGCGACAAGTTCATTCCCATGGAGTACTTCAGCCGGGAATCTCGAGTAAAGTAGTATTTTTCAGGAAATTTTGAACTCTTCTTAATGTTGCGATGAAGCAAATACGGACAAGTCTCGCGACTAATGGATTTATGCGTGGCTTCATGTAGTTTATCTACCATTTCATCATAAGTGTAAGACGGCGGTTCGGACATTTGCTGATTGCGAAGGTCCGCCACCATCAGCTGCGGAATCGAGTTGGTTAGTCGAAAGATTACGGCTTCCGGGGAAGAAACCTGCGGTTTGATGGCATCTAGTGAGATCATCAGGTCGACTTTATCCGGGAAGACAGCCGCGAAGATGTACTGCAATACGGCTCCCATCGAGTGGCTCAAGAATGAAACCTTCTTCCAGCCGTACTCATTCATTAAGGACAGGAGCAAATTGAGGGAATTCATTGGCTGATAGGATAATCCATTTTGTATGCGAGATGAATATCCGTGTCCGGGAAAATCGACAGCCAGGAAGCTCACATTCTTCGGCAACAATGGTATCAGGGTGTCAAAGCTTCCAGCGTTATCCTGCCAACCGTGTAGACACAGAATTGGCCGAATATTTTGAGGACCCCACCACTTCCCGGCGATTTCACCGTATGGGACCTGGATGCGCACTTCTTGGACCTTTGGAAAAACAATAACATATGAATTGTTTTCATTTGAAAATAAATTTTTTTAAGTCCTTACACCATAATCTCGATCGTGTTCCTCTACGAGGTTAATCAACGAAGGCGAATTGATTTGTTCACTCATTACGGCAACTTTCCTTCGGTGCTGTATGAATTATGACTGAAAATGAGTTAGCAAAACATACCACGCAGCTTATCGGTCTTATCAAAGACAATACTTCACTATTGTTGATGTTAGATAGTACGAGTTCGAGACGGCTAATACATAGGTGTAACAGTCGGAAGAAGTGTTAGTTTGTTTACTTAAATGAACCATGCCCATTTTGTTATGGCATGTTTGCTATACGAAATGCGCCTCGTGTTTATTAGCGAATTTCACATCAAAGATTGATTAATTGAGTAGGAAATCAGTTTGGCACGGCATTTGTGACCAGCATACACCTTCCGGTAGTATGAAACAGGTCAAAAACTGTTCAAATTCGCAGATAAAAATTTTTGTTTTGAATTTCTGTATAGCAAAATAGTGAACTTTTCGTGAACATTAACGGCAAAGAACTCACCAACACTGGGAGACTGTGAGTTCCTGCCCACCTGTTCATTTTCCATCGTGGGTTTGGACTAACCTGTTGATGTATTGAGTGCTGCTTGATCTCACCAACACACGATTGTGGTTGATGGTGAACTTTCGTTGATCACCGATTCATTTGAAAACTGGATGAACTTGCATCTTGATATGTGTGTTGAACTTGATTTAAAAATAACTACATGCAAACCAACTTTGTTTATAAAAAAAATCTTCGAAATTGATTTTACTAAAGCTAACGGATCTCTGGAAATTCCTTCAAATTCTAAGCATCCACAACAAGGCATGCATGATGGTATTTTTGATTTTAACACTTGTTATAGTATATTCAATATCCTGCATCTAAAGAGAAACTAACCTTCGAAAATCTACGTTACTCTTGCATTTCCTCATCCTCTTTTAGGCTTGTAATCGATCCCGCATTGGTACCGGAGCTTGCAGCACACGAGACAATACAGTCCTCGTAAGTCCACTTTGGATACACTCGTTTGAACAGATACAAAAGGACCGAGTCGTGTGATTTCAGCTGTGTATCAAATGTGCACTTCATGTGACCGTGAGTTCCTGTTGAAATAGTAATAAAACAAACATTTTACAACGAGAACAATTCCCAGCCGAACCTAGGAACATACCCAACGATTCCTTGATGTGTCCCAACCGACCCAGTTTGGTTCGCAATTTGCATGGCTTGAAGTATTCGATATCTTCCGGATTGAAGAACATGTACCGAATCACAGCCGACTTGCGGTGAATCTTGAACGGATGTCCGCTGATAACTGCCCGCTTCAGCACCACCCTATCTGGATTGCAATTGATCACAGTTCCCGAAGCAACCATTCCGAGTGAAGTGTCTGGATTTTCCCGGAAGCAAACCACTGGAGCTGGAGGAAATTGTATTGGAGCGAAAAACGTTGCCACCACGGTCATTCTGGGTCGGAAGAATCTCTCGTATTTATGCTTGTCGCCGTTGGTGTGCTGACTGAAGATTGGATTAACTATGAACCGTCGGAAGCCACACTGGATGATAAGACGCTCCTTCGATTTTATCGGGATGGTTGAATTGGGGGTTCGCTTCAAACAGACGTTCATCACGGACATTTGATGTTCGTGTGGAAGCAAACCGTACAGCACAACCTGATTACCGTTTCCAGCTGACATATAAGCATTCCAAGAATCCTGAGCAACGTTTTTCACATGGATCTGAATGTACCAGCCTGGCATGACTCCATCATCCACTTCCTGAGCATCTTTGATGACTCGTCGCTTAGTGCGATCAAAGTTCTTGAACTGGTAAATTTTGGCATAATCCAACGGAAGATTTTCCTTCACATCCCAAGGCGATGTCCGGAAGGATTCCAAACCACGGTACTTTCGGAACCGTTCTCTTGCAGGGATGTTTGCCGGTGTGTCAATTTCATCCGGGAATATCTCGTCGTCCTTGGCGGCTTGAATCTTTACCAGCGTGCGTTTATCTTCTTCCATGTCCATTTGTTTGTCGTACTTGTCAGCTGACACTGGACCATCGGAAATGCTGATCTCCTCATACTCTTCATCATCTTCTTCCGCTTCCTCTTTTTCCCCAATCTTACTTTCACTGTCCGATTCGCATGACATGTAATCTCCTTCGTCATCTTCGTCATCCTCATCCTCATCATCGTCATCATCATTCTCGGAAACTTCCTCAATATCCGGAATCCACGCAGCTTGATACTCGCTCATACCCTTGGGTATTCTCTTTATCAGCTTTTTCTTGTTTTCATTTTTAGATGCTAAGATTTCTTCCTCCGTTGGCCAGGTCTGTTCAGCATCCATCTCATCCGGAATATTTTCTCGCTGAAGACTGGTTTGTTTCTGTTCGTCAGCTTTAGCCAACAACTTACACTCTCCCGACGACATTTCCTCGTCACCTTTTCGTAACTTGTATGGATCTTCCGGAGCATAGATCTCCGTCATTTGAAAATCTCCCAATCCAGGAATATGTACCAGCTGGTTGACCGACAACGGGACTCCACGCAGGAATCCAGTAACCTTCAACGTTCCAACATTGCCCTCACCCATCGCAGCTACGTACTCAACCTTCTCTCCGAATAAATGCGGTCGATTGGCTTTATTGTACAGGACTTTCCTTTTCTGACCACCGACTCTACGCAACAGATTCAATCCATCGGTGTTGGAATCCAGAGTCATGACCTTTTCATCCGGAAGAACAGCGGAAATTTCCTTTTGAATGTTACTTTTAACCTGTCCTCGTTTTTTGGGGGCAATAGATTCCAAATCCATCACAAAGACCATCGGTGTGGGAAGGCCCTGACTAAGTGCCATATTCAAGATTTTGGCGCCATGTTTGTCGATGACATCGTCTTCGGCCTCGGTTGCAGAAAGCAGCAGAATAGTTGAGTCGCATACTTTCAGTGTATCTAAAACGGAAAGTTCATGACCGTGGCCAACTTCCGGGGTCATGAAGGAGAACCGCTGACGGAATCGAGGTACGCTATGGAAAGACATTTAATTAACAACCTTCAATTTTTCAAAAATGTTAACATCTTACTTCATGTACCGAATCCGATTGGACACTTTAAACACGGTAGCCTCTTCATCGCAGCCTTCAATAATGGCCAGTGCCGAGTTTGGGTCCACATTAGCATTCAGTGGTAGGATGCACGTCAAAAACGGTGCCGTCGTAGCGCCTCCAATCGCCCTCTTCAAAGCGATCGCTTCATGGCGCTTATTTTTGCGAATCTGGTTTGCCTGCCGTCGCCGATCTTCCCGCCCGAGTTCCCGTTTTCCTGCCTTCGTCGCAGTTTTCACATTAGTTTTTCCTGAAATTGATACGATGCAAATGAAATACAATGTTTCCCAAGCCCGAACGCCGCACAATAACAAACCTTTGGCGACCCGATCGAGCGCTCGCTTCGATGCGTGTTTCCCATGTTTGTGCGCTTTGTTGGTTTGCTTCAACGCACCGGCCTTGTGGATGGTATCGATAGCCATGGTTTGCAGATAGATTCGCGATTTTTTACGACAATTTACACAGGAAAAAATCTGGAATTCCACTGCACTCAAAAACTGCACATGGCATTTGACATGTTTACCACGAGTGAAAGAAGAGTGAGGTTAGGGTCGAATGTTTACATCGGCGCGAAGGTCGCGATTGGCCCAGCGTTTAAAAAATGGATAATAGTGTGAAATGTAGTACTAGAACAGAGGTTAAAAGAAATAAAATTCATTTTTAATCAATCGCACATGACACCAAGGTCTTCCAAGGTTTGCATGAACAAATTTAAAAAGAAAAATAATTCAAAATACACCGAAAATAAATAGATGTTTCGATCTATCTCCTACACGCTAAGATGGACGGATGAATAACCATATTCATCGCTGCCAATATAGAACAGATTACCCTTAACTGATGCATTTGTAACTGCACGGTACATGACAGATCGCTAACCAACAAACGTCAAAATCTGAAAGTTACACGATTTGCTTTCTTTTCTTCGTCCGATAAAAACTTACTTGTTTCGCAAGAATCCAGCTTTACACAACATTTTCCGTAATTTCTCAGGCATATAGTTAACCGGAACTAGTCACCTCGGCCGGTCTATTGTAAGCCGTTTCGCGAACGCATGAAATAAAATCCCCTCTGCAGCGACATGATCCGCGCAGTGTCACAATCGATTCGGCAACCACTTCTACGTTGGAGTGCCAGTACTGGCGTAACCGGCCACTATGCCGCGGTGAGTATAAGAATGTATGGGTTAAGATTCCTCCAATAGTCAAAACCGAATTTTTATTTTAGCACTTACTGCAGCCTCAATCCTACAATGAAAGACTGTCCGAGATTCAGGTCCGATACAAATCGACACCCATTAACACCATTATCATGTTCGTCCCGCAGCAAGAGGTACGATGTGAGTAAATTGTCAAAATTGATAGAAAGTTAAAAAATATTATTTGCTTTAGGCTTGGGTTGTCGAACGAATGGGTAAATTTCACCGGATTTTAGAACCCGGTTTGAACGTGTTGCTGCCTATAGTAGATCGGGTGAAGTACGTTCAAAGTCTGAAGGAAATTGCTATCGATGTTCCGAAGCAATCTGCCATTACCTCGGACAATGTCACGCTTAGCATCGATGGTGTGCTGTACCTGCGGATCCTCAATCCTTATTTGGCGTCATATGGCGTTGAGGATCCTGAATTTGCCATCACCCAGCTAGCACAGACTACCATGCGATCTGAGCTGGGTAAGATGTCTATGGATAAGATCTTCCGGGAACGTGAATCGCTCAACATAAGCATCGTCGATTCTATCAACAAAGCTTCGGAGGCTTGGGGAATCTCATGCCTTCGATACGAAATTCGTGACATTAAACTGCCAAGTCGTGTCCATGAAGCCATGCAGATGCAAGTAGAAGCCGAGCGTAGAAAACGAGCTGCCATTCTGGAATCTGAAGGTGTCCGGGCCGCGGAAATCAACGTAGCAGAAGGTAAACGACAGTCTCGGATCCTTGCCTCCGAAGCCCAGAAGCAAGAGGAAATCAATCGCGCTAATGGTGAAGCTGCTGCTCTCATTGCGGTGGCTGATGCCCGCGCCCAGGGACTGAAAGTCGTTGCTGAATCGTTACTTTCCAAACACGGACGGGATGCTGCTTCGTTGGCCGTGGCGGAAAAATACGTGAATGCTTTTCAAAATCTGGCCAAGGAAAACAATACTCTGATCGTTCCTTCTAATGCCGCGGACATTTCATCCATGGTAGGACAAGCCCTGCAAATCTACAACAGTCTTTCAAGACCGTCGAAACAAATACAACCGATAGAAGGCATGGAAAGTACAACCTATGAAACTGTGTCGAAAAGGAATGATGGCAAGCCTTCAGAGTAGTCTCCGCGAGCGACAGGTTACTTGGGTGAAAAGTAATGCTTTAGAAATATGTTTGGAGTAAATGACGAATAATTGCCTTTCACAAAACTAAGAATCTACAATTATGCGTGAGTAGGCTTCAGGTAATGACGAAAGAAAATAATGCAGGAGTATTTGAGTAATCCCACTTAATCTGTTTATGTAAATAAAGTTTAAGGAAAATATACTTGAATTTGACTTTTGCAAAGTACCGAAATATACCCAGGAAAGTCTAGAAAACTTCTACCTCTAAAAATTCCCAGAACGGACCGAAAATCGAATCCAGCTGCCTCCAGCATGGTCTTGCGTTATAGCTGCGCCTACCGACATCTCGTATTCGTCAAACCGCAGAGGATGCTTTATTTCACGTCTTGGTCTTCCAGAACTTCTGGCTGAAACAATCTGACGATTAGCGTACTCGTTCCATGGCTTGATGAAGATACAATTGCCCAATCAGCACTCTTCCTGCTCTGCTTTTCTTCACCAGGAGCTGATAATCTCTTCAGGCACGCAGAGTTCTCGACCAACTTGCTATGACTGTTGTATGAAGGTGACTGTTGACGGAATTGACTTGAGTAGTCGTCGAAAGAACTTCGGTTACTCTGTATCGCTTATACATTTCAATCAAAACCAGGATGGATACACCAGAGGGAAGTGGACCCAGCATATCCATTGCGCCAGCGTATCGCACGGTTAATTGACTTGGGAATTCCCTTACGAACTCCGTGCTGTTCAAATGGAGTCATCTCACACGGGGTGATAATTGTTACTTCTCTAGTTACAGCAAACCACCTCACTTCACACGCCGCGCAAAATAGGCCTGATTGAAATTCCCTAGGGGGTGGGGGTAAGATGGCCATATGGGGTAAGATCATCATCTCTAAACCACATCTTTGACTAATTTAATTGGTAAAAATGTAATGCGCATTTTGCACCAAAATAGACTCATGCGCTTAAAATAATCCCTCGGATTTGTGTTCTTCTTATTCGCATTTTCAAGCTTATTGCTTATCGCATATTAGCTTATTGCGTATTTCAACTTAGTGTTCTAGATGCGCTTCCACAGGTATAATTGAGAGCTTTCGATGCCTGTACCATTTTTGGATTAGTATAATTGAGTGGTATTGTATATGCCCAGGGAAGTCGAGAAATTTTTCAACCCGAAAAATTCCTAGACTGAACCGGGAATCGAACCCAGCCACCTCCAGCATGGTCTTGCTTTGTAGCTGCGCCTGTACCGACCGAGCGAAAGCCCTCGAATGTAACTTTAGTGAAAATACAGACCCCCCTATTCTGCGAGTCACGTGACTCTCTCTCACCGGTGAGGTGACAGAGTGTCACCTCGTGTGAGGTGACTCTCCATTTTATTTGCACGGAGAATCACCTCACACGAGGTGACAGAGAGTCACGTGACTCGCAGAATAAGGTCCAGAGTGTGGCTCTACGGTGTGGATATTTTGAATTTTGATAGGGAGATTAATAGCACTCAACTATCTATAAGTATGTAGGGCGGTTGACAGCTGTAGTATACTCCGAGTCCCAGTATCGACTGGCATTTGCTAGATGAGGTTACGACATAGTTAAACAAACATGCTCTGCAAACAACGCTCTTTGAAAACAATTTTATGAATGTGTTACTGGAAAAACAAATGCAAGGATTAAAAAGGAGGACATTTTCCGGCAAAAGGAGGATGTAGAAAAAATATTGAAGAAGGAAGACATGTCCTTCTTTACGATACCAAATGGTAACCCTACTCTAGTTGGAGCAGCTAGACTGTGTTTTGTGGTCGATGGGGGTTTACGCTGATGTGTGAGGAAGGAAAGGCGAGAGTGCTGTTTTTAACACCGGTTGAAGAAGTAGCGGCAGCATATCCATGGTAGCTCTTCGAAATCATCGTGATGTCTTGGATTCCTTTGCAACATATCGGGTGAGATCTTTCCTTTATTTTTCTCTTAACTTTCATTACATTATTATACGACACATTAGATGCTGGGAACGGGAGGGCATCCGATTGAAGCGAAATGGATAGAGAGAGTGGAAATGCCAATTACCTGTCTTTAACATTTCGTGAAAAAAGGGGCGGGCTCTTCTCCAACTCATTGGGACATCCTCCTGTTGGATGGCCTGTTTTTGACCAATTGTATGATCCTGGTTCTCATTCATCACGTGTGCGATGTTGCCCACGGATTCACCCTAAAGGGCCACCCACATTAGATCCGTTTGCGTTACCTTGACGTAAATTTGACAGTTAGACAATAGATTGAGCTGTCACTTTGCCGCAACGCGTCCGATCTGGATCTAATGTGCGTGGGCCTTAACTCTTTTTGGCCCTTCATACAATGGCAGGTTGAGTACAATTAGCGATTATTAAACATGATCAAGTCGAACAGCGAGGATAGTCCACAGTAGGGTGTCCCAAAATTGCACTATGTCTGGAAATCTGGGGGCTCAACCTCAAAATTAATAGCTAAGAGTGTTACAAACAAACTTTTGTATGGCGGCAACTCGGGAAATGTTGTTTAGAGGTCGCCCCGACGAGATTTTTGAAAAAAGTCCATTTTTCATAGCTATTATCCAATAAATATTTTTAGTTCTTTAAATTTCAGTGAAATCTCACCCTTTTATATTTTTCGAAGATTCCCAAGGGTCAAAACTATAAGAGAAAAAATTGCTACGGCATGTTCTGTGTCCAATACATCACTGCATTCAATCATCAAAAGTGAGTATCAAACATAGCGCTATTATCAATCATAACAAAAGTCACTTCGACTCTCGGAATAACACCCAATATGGCACTTCGTTAGTACATTCTCATGCACTGTACTGCAAAAATATCAAAGATTAACATACTGGGCGATTTATTTATGGTAGTGTTGGCAAAACTAGCACAAAAATATATTTTGTTTTTTCATCAAAATTTAACAATTTTGTATAATTGTTCTTTGCATAGGGTTTCTGTAAGCTTATGGAAAGACTTGTTTTCTGGTCAAAATAGTGGAAATTTATTGGAATTTCGTTAGGGTGGCCCCAGTTTACCCTAGTTCTAGTTCCAAAAACTGCTACTGTGCACCTAGAAGCAACTACAACATAACATCATTACTTTTTTCTTTCAGCGCGAATGCACGGTTAAAATGAGTTGATTCAACCCTGATCTCATAGTCGGCGTTCAATTTACCTGACATCGAATAGAGTAAATCCGACATCGCCTAGCTTTCTGGACGTTAATTTCGCCGTTCAAGTAAGTCGAACGCTAAATCGGGCTTAAGCTAAAAAAAAAAAACATAAAGGGAATGTGCACCATATTCGGAAAAAAGGATTTCGGATAGCTTTGTTAAAGATAGGAAGATAATAATTATTTTATTTACTTTTTATTTGTGCCATTTCTTGCATTGTAAAAGTTGCATTAGCAGCAACAATATCCATCTTACTGAGGAACCATGCAACAATTACGTAAGCATAAGAAATTTTCTTATAAAGGTGGTTAAGGGACTCGAACATAGAACATTAATTTAATTTAACTAAATTTCAGCATATGTCTTTAAAAACATCCATAAAACTGCTTTACGTAAATGATACATGGCCCCTTCTAAAAACGGAAGACAAGTCCGGCAATATTAGATTGGTCATCTCCATAATTTATTAACAGCCTCAGTGATTGAAACTTTGCAATGAAAAAATTAAAAAGGCGACAGCCCCGGCGTAGTGGTTAACATCCATACCTCTCACGCCAAAGTCACTAATTCAAATCTCTTCCCCCGGACAAGTCACGAATGACCCAACAGTGTTAAAAGTGACTATGATAATATAAAAAATGACATGTTTGCATGGCCTGTCCTATTTCCCCAGACTAAGACATCGACCGACGAAAACCTGAAACATTCCTGATGCGTTTTTTAAGCTCCTGCAGATTTATGTAATTGCAGTATGACATCATTCAATAGCAGGTGGACATTTTGAAATGTCGATATCTTCGATCATTCCCACCACATCTTAATCAATCCCATGACGGAACAGAACCCAAGCGACCTGTAAAGAGATTTGAAAAATACTTATTAGTTTACTGGCTCAGTCCATATGTGATTGAACAACACACAATCTTTGTTGGTTTGCAAATTAAGCTCAGAATAATTCAACTCGGTCACGGTTTAATACGAACAGGTCCGTGAATATTAATTTCATCACGATAAAATGCAAACCACAGGGATTGGTATGAACAACGTTGTTCTTAACAGCAGTCGAATAAAAGAGTTCACTCACCTTTCACACCAATCCTCCCAAAGTCGTATACTTCGAAGTGAATCAATGGACGACAAACCTGCAAATGTAGGAATGGAAAACCGAAAAATTAACTTCACATTCAGCAAGTACAAATTTAAGGGAACTCGATGAACCGAACAAAAAAAAAATCAACAAGTGTCAGAAGAGGTGTCAGAAATGCAATCGTTTTTCAACTTATTATGATTCAGAACAGGTCCATGATTGTTTGGCATCATTCGTGTGATTTTTTTCCCACTAATATAAAATATTTCAATTTTTTTAATGCTTACCGATTAGAGAAAACACCAAGGGATGAGATCCGACCAGGAAGAACGAGATACAACCTGCAAAATGTGAAGACAAATAATCGTTAGTTGACGTTCGTGTAGATTGGATTGCTGACTGATATTCTGGTTGGTCAATGTCAGAAGAGGTGTCAGAAGCAATCGGTTTTTCAATTCATGGTTGATCAGAACAGGTCCATGATTTTTAGCATCATTCAAAGTAGTAGGTTAGGCAATTGTAAACCCGTGTCCGGGATGCTTACCTTAAGTGAACAAAACTGCCCTTCGGAAACAACAGGAGTCTGTAACCAATAAAAAAAAGAACTGGTTAGAAAAATACATTTACTCAAGTTATTAAAGTTAGGTGGGTCCAACAGAAAAGTCAGTCCTGTTGAGCTTGTTAAATAATCACTTATCATAGGATAAAGAATCATCACTTAGAATAGTTAAGTGTTTATATGTGAAAATCTCAGATTGTTTTGGATGCTTACCTTAAGAAAAAAATACTCCGCGACAACGAACAAGAGACTGTAAAACAAAGAGAAAACGAACTGATTAGAAAAATAAATTTTATCAAAATCTAATAATACGCGGAATAGCTTTAACAAGTAAGTCAGACCTGTTGAGCTTGTAAAATGGTATAATCATAGATCATAGGACAAGTTTTCATCACGTGATAAACAAAAAGTAACTGTTCTGTTAAGAAAATGCATATTCACCTCATTGAAGATCCGGTTCCGATTCGCCCAAGGATTTTTAGTTCGGTCATCATCGATCATCTCTGCCGACAGGCGAAGCTAATAATACTACACTGAATAGAGGAATGTTGGCTGTAATCAATAGGAATAACAACACGATCCATTCGCACTGTTTTATGTAAAATAAACGTTATTATGTAAAGATTATCATGTTTTCCAATGCAAAATAATAAAAATAGATGAAAATTATAATAACCGATTTTGTTTTCTTCGATCATCCGAAAATTGGAAGTTGACAAAAAATGCAAGCCTACCTTCCTCTACCGAATGAGTATGATGAGTTAGGTTCTAATATAGTAATGTCTCATCTAAAACATAAATTTGATCCAAATTTACTCAAACTAAGAATAAGTAAAACTACACGCGTTTCCGTTTCAGTTTTCTTTCAACATGATTTCTCATCTTCTGTATTCTCTTGTGTTATGTGTATATCACTGTGTTCCATTATTGTGGTTGATCATACTTTTCTGTTTTCAATGTTTGCTTGCATTTCTCACGAGGGGATCTGAGTTGGTGTTAATCCCATTCCGAATTTATATTGTTTTGTAAACTTTTAGTTGTTGTTTTGTGTCACGACGGTTGCAGCTGCGATTTCACTGGAGGGGAAAGAACGACGCACGACGCGAAACAAGCGAAGGGAATAGTGCACTGATGGAAAGCAACCAGCGAAGGGAGGGTCCCTCTCTGTCTCTCAGATGTTTGGCTGACGAATGTGTCAAGTAGTGTGGATTTTCTTGTAAACATTTATAAATTATGTTTGTTTATATTAATTTGATTGGAGCTGGGATACGCTTCATTCTTCTAGTGTTTCAATCGTAAGAAAGATATTGTAATAAGAATGCGTTTACAACTTGTCCAAGTACTGTGACAGATCTGGGAGACCATCTTTCAGACCCTTACGCTTACGGATATCCTGAACGACACTGTATGGTTTGGTTCCGGGCTCAGCTGGGTCTCCTGGCAGGATCTGCCAGTGATCAAACACGCACTGCGGGAAGGCCTGTCCACCAGTGTTGGATCTAAAGCGTAAAAAAAGTGGATTTTCACGGGTTAGTTCAATGAAACATTTTACTGAATAATCCCGTTCCAGACACAAGGATAAAATAATGTCTTGCAAGACAGGTATTGTAAATTCTACAAAGGAAGAAAAAACAATGTTTTTCGAACAACATTTTACTCTGGCAAACTTTGTACAGCCAACCACCATCGAGCAGTTGGTTGGAATAAGAGACAAAATTTGCCCTAACCTCGGGATAAAAATAAGCAACCTTCAAATATATTTACCTCAGATCAGCAGTGAAGCCGAACGACTCGTTGACAGGCAGGTAAGCCTTGACGACGAACATGGGGGTACCGGCGACCTGAGCTTCTTCGAAAACGTGTCCACGACGACGATTCAGCACACCGTAGATACCACCGACAGCGACCTCAGGGCACTGAATTTCGCACAGGTAGACAGGTTCCATCATACGTGGAGCTGCGGTAATGTACGAAGCGTACAGGACACGACGGGCAGTTGGAATGATCTGGCCACCACCACGATGGATAGCGTCAGCATGCAGGGTCACATCATAGATGTTGAAACGGACGGCTGGAGGATAAAAATAAACTTAGCGTTACCGTTCTATACAAAGTACGATATAAGGTCTAACTAGGTGCGATTTACGTCAGACCTGTTGAGCTTGAAAAATTGTTTATCCATCAAATTTGTTTTCGTGGTTAGAAAGATATCATCATTGAAAGATAGTTTTCTTAAAAAAAAATATGTAGAATGGGTTCAAAAAACATACCGCGCATGTTCTCTTCAGCCAGGACACCTTCCTTGCAGGCCCACTGGAAACCAGCGACGACCGAATCCTTGATTTCGTTCAAGTACTGCACACCCTTAGTGCAGTCAACAACAATGTTCGGGCCAGTACCGTCCGGTCCGAAGCACCAGATCTTACGGGCTTCAGTAACATCGTAGTCGTACTTTTCGGCCAAGTAACGGGCACGAACCTTGAAGTCGTCACGCGAGTTGACGTCTCCGTTGTCAATATCCTCAGCCAGACCATCAGGCATGGGCACGGCCTTCATGAACAGACGGTTGTGCTTGTTTGGCGACTTGGACAGACACATCTGGTCGGATTCTTCCGAAACGGTTTCACGGTACGATACAACAGGGTCGGATTTCTTCAGTGGGATACAGGCGTGGTCTTCTTCCAAATCCTTCAGACAGATTTCCAGATGCAGTTCACCGGCACCGGCAATGATGTGTTCGCCGGATTCTTCAATGATACACTGCACCATAGGATCAGACTTGGCCAGACGCTTCAGACCTTCGACCAACTTGGGCAGATCAGCTGGGTTCTTCGGTTCGACGGCAACACGCACGACGGGAGACACGGAGAACTTCATGACCTTCATGTTGTGAGCATCCTTGAAAGTGGAAATGGTACCAGTCTTGATCAAGAACTGATCAACACCTACCAGACCGCAAATGTTACCGCATGGGACATCTTCGATGGCTTCAACATAACGTCCCATCATCAGAATGGTACGCTGGATGGACTTCTCGTACAAGTCTTCCTTCTTTCCAGGAGTATAGTTCGGCCCCATGATACGACACTTCTGACCAGTGGCGACCCTACCGGCGAACACACGACCAAAAGCATAGAAACGTCCCTTATCCGTGGTCGGTACCATCTTCGACACGTACATCATGAGTGGACCTTCAGGATCGCAGTTCTTGACGGCAACAGCGGCTTCATCATCATGTGGTCCTTCGTACAGCATCTCCATACGATACTTTTGGGCAACGACTGGCGATGGCAGATGGATGGCAATCATCTGAAGCAGAGCTTCGCCAGCTGGCAACCACGTACGCATAACAACCTTCAGCAGGTTCTTACCGTCCTTGTCCTTGTCCTCGTGCTTCAAGGTAACCTTCAGCTTCTCGAGCAGTTTTGGGATTTCTTCGGTCTTGTAGTTCATGATAGCGTCGAATACCTTGTAGATGGGGTCCAACACGTACATGACGAAGGAACGCTTGTTGTCGTCATCCTTGACCTTGGCCCACTTCTTTGTCTTGGGGTTGAAGAAGTTTTCTCCCCACAGGCGGTTCATCAGCTTCACAACATCGATCTTGAACATGACGGCGTACATCTCAGCAAACTGCTTGAGAGTGAAGGCCCATCCGTGCAGACCGGAACCGAAACCGACGGAACCCTTCGATGGGTCTACGCGGACTTCACCCATTGGGCCGCCATCGTCGTTGTAGGTGGCAATGATGACGTTGACGTTTTCAACGATACGCTGGAAGGTCTGGTACAGATCCTCCGCCTCCAACTGCAGTTCCAGCAGAGCACGGTCCATCTTGTTCATGAACAGAACTGGCTTGATACGTTCGGCGATGGCCTGACGCAGTACGGTTTCGGTCTGTACGCACACACCGGAAACGCAATCGACGACGACCAAGGCACCGTCAGTGACACGCAGCGCGGCAGTTACTTCCGACGAAAAATCGACGTGTCCGGGAGAATCGATCAGATTGATCAAGAATCCCTTGCAATCCTTGTCGCGCTGGTCGATATTGGAGATGAACACCAAATCCTTTTCGTCCAACTCGAAGTACATCGAGATGGCACTAGCGGTAAAAGGAGAAAAAGTCCGAAATTAACAATAAAATTAAGAACGTCCGAAGGTTAAAGGAATCTTGTGGAATTTGCAGGAAATATCTACATGAATAAAACATTACACTAATCTTAATTTTGGTACTTGTTGCTAATAATGAAACATTTCTGAATAATAATTATTGATCAACAATAAAGTGAATGTAACTACGTAGCATCCTGCAGTTCCATACGATTCCAGTTAAGTAGCGTAGCACAGTTGGTACAATACTCACGTCGACTTGATGGTAATGCACCGTTCCTGCTCGTCCTTGCGGGTATCGGTGAAACGGGTCTCACCAGCCTTGGCACCGGCGATGATACCGGCCTTGGAGACCAACGAATCGGTCAGCGTCGACTTACCATGATCGACGTGGGCAATGACGGACATGTTACGGATGTTCCGTTTCCTGTCCATCATGGAACGAATTTCGTCAACGGTGAAGTTAACCTATGATAGGAGATGAAAAAAGGAAGAAAATCAATAAACATGCGCCTGGGAAAATGCATCTCGCTGGAGCTGCATGGTTAAAAAAAAATCAATTTCTCCTATCATGTCGTCTGCATTCGGTACGTAACGGTGCTTTTCTTTGCCCTTTCCTTTGTTTCCAGTACCGAGGGGGAACACTTTACACGTCATACGATGATGTTCCTGCGCCATATCGCCTCCTCCGACTTCCCTTCCTCCACAACTTATTTATATTTCACAATCAGCTGAAACTAGCCCTACGACGTCATAACTCTCGAGGTTCAGATCAACCTTGCAAAATGCACTTTTGATACACCCTGATTCAAAGCAAAATCCTACCATTTTGTTCCGCTTTTAGGTGACGATATTCCACTCGATAAAACCAATTTAAAACTTTCAACTTTTACTGCGCCCGTGTTGCAAAAAGCAGGAGCAGAAAAACGTGTTTTCCTCTTCTTTGCACTATGAACTGCTCTCTTCTCGTTCGGTTCGATGTATGACTGTTATTTCACTACACGAGACACGGTGAGGGAACGCAATACAAGCGAACCTTAGGCCTGACTGAATACTCTGTCTGGCCCAACGATCTGTGGTGGCCGGAAAAAGAAAGAGACCTCCAGTGTTCTCCATATCCTTCTCCCTCACTCTCACACACATTGATACGGTCTGCAAATCATCCGACATTTTGATTTGGCAACGAGGCATTCCACCACGATGAGAACACTTTTCACCGTAAACGATTTTTTCACTATTCACACCGATATTCCACCATTCCCGTGCAGATTCCGTCGTTTGATAGTAAATTCACCGTGAAAAAATCACGAAACTCACCATTTTGGATGTTTCTGCTAGGTTTTCTGCACGACACCGAAAATCGACTTACACGCCGTTTGCGTGCCTTGAAGCGAAAGAGACCGACGTTGCCGAGCTGACGACCGTGAGAGCGTGGCAGTCGCACACTTGGTTCAGCTACGATCACACTTTGACAAAATTAAACTTGGCGTTTCGGTTTCGAGCGTGCGTATAGCTTAGTGCCCAGTGGTTGTGTTGAAAACTGAATTGCCTCGAGAACGCTATTTCAAAACTTCCACAATTTGGGTAGAATCCACCCAGAACGGTCAAAACTGAACCAACCCAAAAATGGGTAAACTGTGTTGGGAGTGACAAGTTGACAAATGAACAATGTTGATCGGATTCATGTCGATGTTGTTCATTTGTCAACTTGTCACTTCCAACACAGTTTACCCATTTTTGGGTAGGTTCAGTTTTGATCGATCTGGGTGGATTTCTCCCAAATTTGGGTGATTTTGAAATAGCTTGTACACTAGACTGATGCAAAATTTGACTTTTTCGCTCCACAGTGCTTAAATGGCTTCAAATCGGGTCGTGATTAGCCTCTAAAAGTTACAACTCATTTGGTTAGAAACAGACTTCGCACAAACCATTTGAAGTTTAAATGTTAATTACTATGGGAAATCTCAACTTTTTGTTCATTGCCTTCCAGTCTTTTTCCATATTGAGCTGTAAGACAGCTCGATAGCTATTCTTATAGATCGTTTCTATGTAAAACGAGACAGGAAATAGTTATTAATTATTTAAGAGATTGGTAAACTTATGACATGATCAAGCAGCTGCTCTGTAGGCAACACTGTATTTTGCAGTGTGACATAATAGCCATAATTTTTGTGTCCTATTCAACGCCCCAGAAACACCAATGTTGCCTGCCGAGCAGTTGATTGAGCATGATCATAAGACATCAGTGCATTGAACCATTTATAACTTTCGATCCTTGCATTTAATCAAAGAGTGGTCTTGAGCAAAGTTGTAGCTGGGAAAATTTCCTACAAGCATAGTTGAAAGTTTTTGAAGTAGACCGATATGGTGAATTATTAGATAGACATGAACAAAAATCTTGGTTTTTCCATAGTAATTCCCATACAAACTTCAAATGGTTTGTGCCATCTCAGTTTCTCACCAAATGGGTTCAAATTTTGTGAGGTTAGTCAGGATCCGATTTGGAATCGTTTAAGTATTGTGGAGCGAAAATTTCAAATTTTGCATCACTCTATTGTACACTCAGAAAAAAAATTAAACTAATTAGTATAAAAGCGAAGACATCAGTCTTCGTATGATATGTAGTCTTCGTCTTGTAGTAATTCACACTAAAACGCTATTCGCCTGGTTGACCCCAGCAATACGAGCCTAGTACAAACTAGAAGTATAAGGGGTATAGTATATATTTTGAATATACATACGTAGTTTAATGCTGGTTTATTCCAGAAACGATTTCTACGCTCCCAGGTTGGTTTTCGTTGTCAAAAGGATAATAAATATGATAATCATCCAAAAAACCTTTTTTTTTGTATGGAAAATACGGTTCGAACGAAAACGAGAATATGGGTGAATAACACCGACAGAATTGATCTTTCTTACTTTCTTACCGACAGAATTGATGTATAACTTGTTTAAAAAAGCTATTCCCATACGAAAGAAGTCCTTTGGGAATCACTCTTTTAAACTTGTTACATATTAAATCTTTCGATCTTCAGTTTATAAGCCAATTTAAGATTTATCGGTCCGATAAAACTGGAAACTAACGATTTTATATTGACTTGACAAACCTACGAGGGGGCGACTCTATCTACGATGCAGGAAAAATTGTATTTTGCTGTGGTTAGCTGCCTGCACACTGAGTAGATAGAAAGAAGATTGATGACGATTCTGAAGATTTCCTGCAAAAAGATGATCCCCCTTATTCTGCGAGTCACGTGACTCTCTCTCATCGGTGAGGTGACAATTGTCACCTCGTGTGAGGTGACTCTCCATGCAAATCAAATGGAGAGTCACCTCACACGAGGTGACTATTGTCACCTCACCGGTGAGAGAGAGTCACGTGACTCGCAGAATAGGGGGGGATGTGCGATGCAAGTAGATGGGAGAAATGATTGAAGATTTTTCGAAGATTGATTCGCTAGTGTGAGATTTGTTGAGCATCTAAAATTGAGATTTAGATGTGTCGCCCCCCTCGCAAGCCTATTGGTCCCAAGTACATCTATAAGCGTACCCCCATTCTAGTTTTTTTTTAATACCCGAGTTGTTTCGAGGGCTTTAGCTTGAGACCGAAGATAGTGCAAGAGCTGAGCCAAAAAATTGAGCACGTTTCTTCGGGACCTTCTGGTCTTAGAGTAACCTCTATGGTAATAGCACCGACGAACCGACATGCCACTGGAGCATTTCGTTTGTCCACAATTCGATTTTTAAAATGAGTGACCACGCTTTATGACATTTTGTTTACACCTCTGAGCGCCCGCATAAACGCGAACCATAAATTGACCTTATCTAAAATGGTTAAAAATTGTTTATAATCCCTGCTAAACTTTAATTGAAATGGTTATGGAACTTTACATGAACGTTTAATGATAAAGTTTCAACCTTATGTATTATGGTTTTTTGGAAATGGACCTTACAAATAATGGGTTGTTAAGAACCATTACCATTCCAAATTCTTGTTTTCTCCATACATTTTCAGAAAGAGAACTATATAAGAACGTTTTTACTTATGATTTGAGAACATTAATGGTAATGGTTATGGTAGTCAGGAGACTGAATTTAGGTACCTGTTTAGGTGAATTTTGACATGGCAGTAGATACCTGCTGATTTTTAGTACCTATTGATTAGTATATAACTCGTAGATTAAAGATGGATTCTTCAGTGGTGTTGAGTACTTGGCACTGATGAAGTCTGCAAGTAGTAGACGAAATACGCGTATCTGTCAAAAGATAAGCAATTATAACGGAATTTAAAGGAAATAAACCAACCCACTCAAAGCTCTTCACATAAAAGAGAGCTTAACGACGTGTTCGGGGTATCATCCAAACCATTTGTGAGATAGTTTACCCATCCGGGGTACAGTTCGTTTATGGTATTTATTTATTAGGGTATTTATTTATTAGGGTATTTATTTCTAAGTGTGAACGGTTTGTGCAACAGGAATATCTCACCCGAGATATCACCTTCAATCTGGCCTCTGAGCTGCTCGAGCTCACATAGGATGCTGCACGCTGACGTCACGAATGAACGCGATGAACCCGCATTCATCAGTTTGACATCCAGTGGTGGTTTGTTTACCTATGCTTTTTAGGCTATTCAAGTGGATTTTAGGTTTTAAATATAAAGAACTAAAACATATGATATCCGACTATGTTCCTATGAAAAATATTCCACTCCAAAAAATCAAAAAAAAAACATTTGATACATTTTTTAAATTTTTCTAAGTCCATGTATACAAACCACTGTCAGATGTCAAAAAATGTTAAGTTAAACCGACGGTGCAGCTCTCTATTACTCTAATCAGTGTTGAGAACATTATTCTCTAATCTCATTCAGTGAGTTTTCCTGGCGATAATAACAAAACTAACCAAAATGAGCCGTACGCCATCCATCAACTACAGGAAAACTGCATTACGTAATAAAATATTAAACGCATCCTGTTTTGAATTTTACCCGTCATATCAAAACGACCTTTTGATCAGGCTATTCAAGTGGATTTTAGGTTTTAAATATAAAGAACTAAAACATATGATATCCGACTATGTTCCTATGAAAAATATTCCACTCCAAAAAATCAAAAAAAAAACATTTGATACATTTTTTAAATTTTTCTAAGTCCATGTATACAAACCACTGTCAGATGTCAAAAAATGTTAAGTTAAACCGACGGTGCAGCTCTCTATTACTCTAATCAGTGTTGAGAACATTATTCTCTAATCTCATTCAGTGAGTTTTCCTGGCGATAATAACAAAACTAACCAAAATGAGCCGTACGCCATCCATCAACTACAGGAAAACTGCATTACGTAATAAAATATTAAACGCATCCTGTTTTGAATTTTACCCGTCATATCAACCTAACTTTTCTCTGTCACTGTTTATGTCAAAAGTCTAATTTCAAAAACGCACTCTCGATGCGTTTGGTGTTAACCGGGCTGAACAAAAATCAACCGCCACCGCTAAAGGACCTTTTCAAACATTCTTAAACAAAGCAACAGGCAAATACTCAATGATCTTTAAAGTACGAGAAATTGGCAATTTTCTGTGATTATTGCGTGTCTTGTTGTATATTATTGTTGCTAGACATAGTTTTACCCCTAAGATGAGTGTGAAAGACATCTATTATTCTGATAAATATTACGACGACGAGTACGAGTACAGGTAAGATCAGTACCGGCTTTTTTACCTGTGTTAATGGCGTCGATGTCCTTGGAACTACATCTCAATAACATGTAAATTATCCTTATATACTGGTTTTAGGCACGTTGTCTTACCCAAAGATATTGCAAAATTAGTGCCCAAAACCCACCTAATGACGGAAAATGAGTGGCGGTCAATCGGTGTGCAGCAATCCCGCGGCTGGATACACTATATGATCCATCAACCAGAACCTCACATTCTACTGTTTCGACGGCCGAAGACGACGGCGTAACGACACTACATTCCGGAAAAAAAAGTAACGCTTACTGCGCTATCATGATCTACAGTGTTTCAGTTACAGTTCAAATACCTAGAACATTCTGGAAATTTTCTATGATTATGATCTTGTACAAATGGAATCTGCTAGGGCGACTATAGCTTCCCTCTCGGTCGGTTTAGGTTAAGTTCCGTGTTTTGTACTGTCGTCAGCTGATTAGGGTGTAGGGATTATGGATTCGAAAAATTACATAGCGAACCTATTGCTCTACCTGTAACAATAGTTCAAAATGTTTAACGTAAAACAGAGGCACAGGGCCAAGCAGCGGTAGAAAGCAAATTAGGTTGAAACAAAAACAAAACTGTACAGATAAATTTCCACCGCGGGCTCGTCTCACTGCCAACAGCAACCGCCTAAGAAGAGAGTATGAGTGTGTGGGTGCCTATTATTGTCTTGAGAAAGATGGAAACAAAAAATACAATCATTCTAAGTAAGTTACTTTTAATAAACATTTTAAATTTTTAAGGTCCATTGTTTTTTTTTCTTTTCTGGCCCTTGTTTGAGAGAAAATCCAGGTTACATCCTGGGAGTTATATCTATTGCAGCTACTGTCATACAATAAGTACAAGAAATCGACTGCGATGATCGATTTTCTCTTTAAATTACTACAGCTAAACGAAACAATCTTCTGGCATTTGTCCAATGCTGTAACAGGTTGTTTTTGCTATCAAAAGTAACAGCAAACGTATCGAGAAATGTTCATCCAAGCGAGTTATTAACAAACAAGACAATCGATCATTGCAGTTAGGCCAATATGAAAGCTCACTGTCGAAATGCATAAATGCCTAAGCTTCGGTTTTCAGCACCTGACAGTAATTAAATTATCATCCGTTAATTGAAATCAATTATAGAACATAATTTTCAGCGTCAAAAACCGTGTAAAATTCAATTAAAACTGAAAAATGCATTAAGTCCTAAGTAACAATGACAGATTCTCTTCGTCGAGTTTCTCTTTGCATCCTCACGACCATGTTACGACATTTCCAGCTTATTTCAGCACACAGATCGATGCAACAAGCTATTCACCCCTATTCTGTATTTCGTTCGAAACGAAATTGTCATACAAAAAAATTATTTTTTGTATAGGAATTTCGTTTCGAACGAAATACAGAATAGGGGTGATTATCTGGCATTTATACGAGACACGACAAGAAACATTTCAGTGCCAAAGTTACTTATTAACTTATTAAGTTATTAACGAAAGAGAAAGTCGATGAAGAGAATCCATAAATTAGGACCTAATGCATTGTTCAACGTGAATTATATGCAGCATCTAATACTATCAGTCGGTAAAATCTTCCACTCTTTCCTTAGTAAATGCGATACACAAACGTCTTAATCGTCTCCACCACAGGTCTCCGCAAATGAGATGATTAATGGCTATAGTCGTTACATTAACATTTCGCTGGTTTAATAGGAGATATTGGTAAATATGTATATGCATATTGATAATGATAATTGACATTGACGTCATTGAACATTTGCGCGTGTAGTATAATAGTAAACAGCGGCGCACAATGCATCCGGATTTGATGGTACGTTACGGAAAATCAGACATTTGATTTTGATTTTCCTATGTTGTACTGCATGAGAACCTAGAAGTCATCAGTGACATAATTTTACAAATAAAACTTTTGACACCACTAAATTTGCATACTTGAAACCAATTAAGAACGACAGCGGGTCTAAATTAATGTTTAATTGACTCTGTTTCAGTATTACTCAATTCAGCATTTACACAGCGAGATGCGATATCGGAGATAACGAATCGACTAAAAACAAGTGTTCATGCAGATGGCGATACCCTCCTGTCAGTGGACAATGGTCCCAAAGCCGTTTTTAGGAAGGCAACAATGTTTGCGCTAATCTTAAAATTTAGGTAAATTGTGTCCTCAGCAACAAAATTATATATTGGCCCACCAATTTTTTTTTTATGCAAGTGTAATCTCGCTGGAGCATGTTATAAAAAATCAATACCTATCTTGTCGTCTACATTCTGCATTATGTAACGGTGTTTTTCTTTGCCCTATTCATTTGCCCCTCAATATTCACAACTTATTTATATTTCACAGTCAGCTGAAACTAGCCCTACGACGTCATAGCTCTTATGAGGTTCCGATCAACCAAGCAAAATGCACTTTTGAGTCACCTTGATTCAAAGCAAAATCCAACCCCTTTGGTCCGCTACCAAATAATTGTATTTTGTACTTAAAATAACCTTGGGAACCACCCTATTTTAAGATATACCAGCATAATGCTTGACAATGTTGAATAGGATAAATAACGGCTTCGGCAATACCTTATTCTATTATGACGATAATATCAGGGGGGTAAACAACATTCTTGAGAGCTCAATTTTGGCATGTGGATACAATGTGTTCCAAAGCATCTATTGGCCAAATTTGAGTGCTCTAGGACTTTGTTTACCCCCTGACGATAACAGAATAAGGTATTGCCGAAGCCGTCATTTACCCTAACTATTTATTGTTAACACCTGCAGAAAGCATTTTTTAAGCTCAAACGGTGCTCGTTTTATACTGGTTTTTTAAGTAAGTTAGGGTGACCCTTGGAAATCCCCTCGCAAATGATTTATTCTAGACAGTTTTAGAACTTTTGATGGTGCACATTTTAGTCGGAGCAACCTCTTTTATTTGAAAAGTTATTAACGATTTATAACACAAGATCCATTAGAAATTTGATTTGTTTTTTATTTTGCGAGACAGAAGGGGGTCTTATGAAGGACAAATCTCAAGCCTCAAGGCCACATTCCAGAACATGATCATGTCAAACTATAATGTCTAAAATGAACCACATGCTCCAAACAACCCCTAGAACGGCTCCCATACACTCTCTATGCTGAAAAATAATAACTCAATGCAGGTCAATTGAGTATGCCTAAATGAATTAGTTGCAATGATAATGTATACTGTCATATATACTTATTGAGTATCTTCCGAGTCTTTGTATTCGGATCGGACTCCACCATTTCAGTGAACAATCTTCCCCCTTTGGTTTGTTTTCCGTCGATCTTGTTTTCCGTGCTGAGCACCAATGCTACCGACGCCAGGAAGACTGCTCCCACACCTGGACCCTACCTATCGTTTCATGAACCAAGGACCAACGGCTTTACTTCCCTTCCGAAGGAACTGGGATTGAACCTAGGCCTGCTGAGGTGAGAGGTAATCACGCTTACCACTACACCACCGGCACTGCTAATTATGTAATTTTGACTAGTAGTTAAATTCCAATAAACTTTTGGGCCGCTACATCACAACTGACATCACTAGTGTGCATCTTTCAAAATGTAAAGATACAGACAAGCCCTGGGACCTGGTTGCAGTTAAGCAATCCTCACGGTTATGCCAATGCCCAGGGATAACACGAGTTCCCTTAGAAATAGAACATTATTTTCTTGAGCAAAGTTGCTTTAATTAAATTGTTTTACATCTTTGTAGAACATTGCGCTGGAATATCTCAAACAACTTAAAAGTCGATATTAGTTAATAAATAAATTTCACTCATATCAAATGATTGGCCAAAAATATATAACAACTTTACCGAAGATACCATTTACCTAAAACTTGTGGTTTAATTGCAATCATTTATGACTTCCTAAATACGGCCTTGGGACCATTGTGCAGTGGCAGTACGGGTGGTTAATAGTTCTCACATGTAGATTAATTCAGATTGTTAATTGATGTGTCCAACAACTCTAACTCTACCCATAAGCGTGGAATTGAATGGAATTTGATCGTGATATTAATTTACACGCCCCATTGTATGTGTGTGTACGTGTGTATCCATTTATGTCCATCATCATGCGAAAATGCGGTACCACCGCATGGGCGGCGCTCATAGCTCAATTCAGCATCCCCAATGGCACCCGGGTGAGTGGCACCCAATGATCATATTCATCCGCACACAAAATGTAAGTATATAGCTTAAAGCATATTCCATAACTCAAAGTGGGGTTTCAATTTCATACCCACCTCTTTTTCCCTACATGTCACTTCAAAATATAACCCTGCTTGTCAGTTGATACCGCTTATAAGTTCACATCCGCCCATTTAAATCAATTTATTTCTAAATTCTATAACAGCGTAGCGCATCATCAATTGCAAACCCCGTTTTGAAGAGGTGGTGGATCATTTCGCGTTCATGGTTGTGAACCCGCGGCTTTTTTTCGGTTGACATCTGTGAGCTCTGCTCGATCTCTCATTCTTCGTGGCAGTTAGCTAAATGTTTTGTAATACTCATAAAATGAGAGAACCATTTATTGGGGGTTAATTGATTGGATGCGATTGCAATAAATTTAAAATGTATGACACTCTGATCTTATGTTATTTATTGGACAATACTAAGTAAGTCTTTTCATAATAATATCGATTCTTTGGGATTGAAATGATGGGAATCTTTTTATTTCAACGCATTCAGGTACATAAATCCAAGCGGGTAACGTAAGATTCTATTACAGTTTTGCATACCGAATTGGTTCATCACATGAACAGATTCTGTAATGTAATGTGGTCATCGGAAGGATTTTAAAATAATTTTGTTATTTTTATGTTTGCTAAATGTTTGAACAAAGTTTGTTTCCCCAAATGGACGGGGCTAGAAAAGCATATCGTGAAGGTTTTATATGATAATATTAATTCTGGAAAAACTTGCTTGTACGCTATAGTCCGTCGTTAGAACTGCCATTACAGTTGTTGTTAGGAAAAATGCAGGTGATGTAAGTAAATGACCCTTACATTTGATGTTCATGCCATTTGTTTTGCATGTACCGCTGCATACAGAAAATTTCAATTTTATTAGATGTTATTAGTAGGTGGGGTAATTTACGTTTTCTTGTCAATCTATGCAGCGTTCATCATTCTATGGCGATCTTCTCTAATAGCGAATTCGTTTATTATTCAGTTCCAACCTGGATCGGGTATCAAGATTGGGTCTGCTTGTTTTCTGACAAACGTCAGTTTGATCGTTTGTTTTTAAAACCTAGCTCAGGTTGAGGTTCGCACTGACAAAAAGTTTGGTTTCGCACGAACGAATTCGCTATAAGTAAAGCACACTTCTTCTTCCTTTCAATGTAGTCTTAAACGAGTTTATGAATTTGTATCTATACAGCGTGGAAAAACAATAATGGTCTATTCCCAGGATAGTTAAACAAATTTCCAGCTCGAAAGATCTAGACCAGACCGGGAATCGAACCCGCTTCCTTCCTTGTTCCTTAACTGACCAGGCTATCTGAGGCCGTATCGCATACATATATTAGTAACTCTGCCTGCAATAATTTCCTATGAATGCAGGAAACTTGAACTCGGGAGTAAGAACGTGAATGTTCTACCGTAGCTCCAATAGCTTATTTCAAGAACGCAAGCATTCCCAAGCTGTTTTCACTCATGATAAGCCCCGCTCCAATACATTACCGATGCTAATATACATAATTGATACTGAACACTCATAAA